CCCTTTTCGAGCAATTGAGTACTGTTCCAAACACTTATTACTATTATTTGTTGTCCTACAAAAAGAGTCTAGTTTGATCTCCCGAAGTGCCATTGACAAGTAACATATGAGAAATTTAGTTGAACCACAACAACAACAAACCCATTAAAATCCTACATACTATAGGGTCTAGGGAGGGTGTGTGTATGCAGATCTCACCCCAACTCGAAAGTAGAGAGGCTGTTTTCAAGTGACCCCCAACTTGAGCAAACCCCAGCTCAAGCAATTAGTTCAACAAATAAAATTTAAAGTTATTAGTATGACTCATGATTTATGACCACTTGCCAGTGCCAATTGTATCTTACCAAAATCTTAAAGTTGTATATTGATAACTTATTTGGTGATGGAGGCAGCATCCTTGTTTTCAGTCTACTAGAGCTTTTTTCTGTCCATTGAACAGTTGAATTTATTCCGGAAGGGGCTCAAATCTCTTGAATCTGTTGATCCACAAATAAGGATGGTTGCTGGTAAGCAACACATAGATTTCCAAATAAGTGAAGTAGATGGTGCAAGCAACGGTAGATCTAAGAGCTATGATGGTGGCGAGGAAGGGGAATTGAGTTTTGATTATAGAACAAACAAGGTGGAAATAAGTAGTCCTTACAGCTTGAGAAACTCAATGGAGGTACCCTTTTCTGTCTTGGTGCAGTTTTCATTCTTGTAGTTTCGTCAGTGTGATATCCACCACCTCCACCTTATTCTGAACAATGCTGGGGCCGCTGACATGATAGTGTCAATTAATTATCTAAAATTAGTTAACACAATTTATTCATGCAAAAACAGTGACTAACATTTACTACTTACAATTTGAATAATGAAATGAATTTCCGAAATCATTGTCGTCATAGGCTCTGTTCATTTGCTTTGAAAATATAACTAGACAATGATGAGTTGACATAGCTGCTATAGTCTCGTCTCATTACAATATTATGAACACTAAGCTCAATATGTACATCATGAAACACAATCAATTTTAAAAGTAAAATAAAATTGCCTTGTTTCTTCCAAAGATTGACATTGATGATAACTTGATTAGTGTTTTTTGGTCTGATGTGATGCATTCTGCAGTTTGACCATGTAGATGCTCCTATTACACAAACTTCAGGCATGGAAGAAGTTGAGGTGAAAATTTCCTTCACAGATCAGTCGTTTTAACTTTAGTTATCAAGTATAGTATTTATTTTGTTTGATCTAGTTTGTCACGTAACAAATCATATGGACTCATTTGCAGTTAAATTTCAAACCACAAGATCACATTTTTAACAGACCGTCTCGGGTCAGTAGTCATTCTGCTCCAATTTTTGCGGAGAAGACGGATATATCTGAAAGGATTAAAGAATCTCAAACATCTGCACGGAATTTTCATACATATGTGCTACCAACTCCATCAGATGCAAAAACCTCAACAGCTGCAAGGACAAGTTCGCTTTTTCCTTTAAGCACTTCGAATGTCAAAGATGATAGCTTGTTGGTTCATGCATCTACAAAATCTCAATCAACATCCACAGAAAGCAACAGTAACAATATGTCTACCCCGCTACCCTGTCCTTTAGAGGGAACTTTGCTTCAACAGATCGAGTCACAAAATAATACATTTGATATGAAAAGGGGAACAAGAATCTCTTTCTCTGGTCCCATATCAAGTAAATCATCATCATCATCATCATCTAACAAGCCTTCAATATCTGTTAGTGGACCTATTGCATCTGCTGAGAGGTCCCACCAGCTAGAATATGGATCCACTTATGGAGCACCAAGAGCCCAGCCCATAGATGTCTCTCGCAGTGCCTCGCCTCCTCCCCTTGCGGCTTCACCAAAAATAAGTGAGCTGCATGAGCTCCCTCGCCCACCTGCCTCTTTAGTTCCCAAGCCTTCATGTAGCTCAGCTGTGATTGGACATCCCCGTTTGGCGGGTTTAAAGCCAGGCTCTTCATTACCTTCACGACATCTTTGTGTTTCCAGAAGCTTCTCCATACCTTCCAGCCATCATAGATCAATTGGTTTAAACGAGCCCCAGCTAGTGGGTTCTCCAAATGTGAAAGATAGTCCTGAAGTATCATGTCCCCCATTATCACCTATTTCACTGTCAAATATTTCAACATTCTCAGTAGTAGCCACCAGTTCTGGCCAAATCAGAGGTACTAGTATTTCCAATAGCACATTCGAATTAATTGCATACTAGAGCATCCTCTCTGCTGTGCAATGCCCTATTTGTTCTATATGATTACAAAAGCTGAGCATGTATAATCATGAGATAAAATTTCAGAACCATCAATGTAATTGATATACCCCATCTGCATTATCGCGCTTTCTATTTTCTGATTCAAAGTCTTAACTCCAGTGAACGCAGGTGGAAGATGATTGACCTTGCCACTCTGGCAAATGCACCCAGTGGCTCCAGACCTCTTGTGGTTCTCTTCACAGAGCAGAGTTTGTTGATGGCAACCCGTGTAAATGTTGTAAGCACTTGATATAAAATTACATCATGTTTCGTTCAAGTTGTTCTTCCTCTTTAGTATACATATTAGAGCATCGTATACATCAAGTTTTGACCACTCGTCACTGCCTAGACCTGCCAGTTTTCTCCGAATTAACCCTCCCCTGCTGTTGTGTCAAAATCAAACACTCCATTCCACGAAGTGAAATGCGTTATTCATTTTCTCATTTCTTTAAGTGTTAACATGACGGAATGTTTGTACTAAGTAGCAACAGGTGTTGAATTGAGGAACCCACAGATGTTTTGTATGGCGTTGATGTATTGTACTAATTTGGGAAAATGACGCTTTTGATCTCTCAAAAATATAGCTCCAATTGTTGTTGATTTAGCTGTCAATCTATTGATGTCACATTATTTTTAATCTTTGAGTACATAGCAAGGTGGCAATAGCCATTTCGGCCACTCTATCAAAAGAAAAAACTTCCGTTTTGGTTGATTGACCATTTCGCTCTTCCTACTTTTGTCCGTTTTTTTAGGTCCATGAGACCATGACTACAAATTGTTCGGATTTAGAAATGACTAAAAGTGGCAAGTTCATATTTATGACAAAGTAAATTTTACTCCGGTATGTTTTTTTGGAATAATAAACAAGATAATATCAGCTTGATTTTTAAAACTATGGATACAATCTCTCTTAAGTATTCTCTACCGAATATATTCTTTTATTAGTTGTCAACTTATATTTAAAATGCCACATTTCAACTAAATTAACGAGTAATGATATAAAATGTATAATTTCTAGGTGCAATTATGTTAATTGATGAATTTCAAAATACTCTGTATAAAAATAAAATCACTCATTTTTTTGGGATCACTTTTCTCTACTAAAAGTGGCAAGTTCATATTTATTCACAAAAAAGTAAAGAAAAAAACAGAAAAAATTGATCCCAAAAAACGAGTGATTTTATGTTAATACGGAGTATTTTGAAATTCAACAATTGACATAAATGCACTTAGAAATTATACATTTTATATCATTACTCGTTAGTTCAGTTGAATATATGACATTTTAAATATAAGTTGTCAATTAATAAAAGAACATATTCGGTAGAAAAATAAATGCACTTAGAAATTGTACATTTTATATCATTACTCGTTAATTCGGTTGAATATATGACATTTTAAATATAAGTTGTCAATTAATAAAAGAACATATTCGGTAGAAAATACTTAAGATAGATTATAACCATGGTTTTAAAAATCAACTTGATATTATCTCGTTTATTATTCTAAAAAAACATAAAATTTATTTTGTCATAAAATTTACTTTTTCAAAAAGCGTGCAACTCCAATGGATGAAGGTCAATGGAAAAAAGGTTAACTTGAAATTGCAATTTGCTTGTATTTATAAATATGCCCTATCTTTTTTGTAAAAAGTGAAGTTTGGTTAGATAGGTTCGTTGTAATAATTGTGAAGTAGTAAAAATAAAATGAGAAGTTTATCGTTTGTCATTTTGCTAAATAAGGAAAGTGAACACATTTATAGGGAAAATTTGAAAGAAGAAAATTGAACAAACTCATTGGACAAAAAACAAATTAAAAGATTTATATTTTTATAAATTTATATTTCATAATTTTAGACTAAATAGAATCTGAAAAAATAGATGAAGGTATATTTACTCATTCAAAATCCAAAATGGACAAAAATATTTTATTTTATCATATACCATATAATATCCCATCTCATCAAATTCTTACCATTTCTTTTTCACATTTCAACATTTTTCTTAAAGTCAATTAAAGTCAAAGGCAGAAAAGGAGGGAGTATCAATTTTTAGAGTACATTTCTGAAATGATCCTCTCTAATAAGTCGTTTTTCCAAATTGGTCTCAATAACTTTTAATTACCTACGCAGTCTTCTATAATTGCTCAGATGATAGTGAATGTGGGGGTATTTTGGTATTTTTATGAACTAAATTTATAATAAGTTCTTAAAATGATCGTTTCTAATGAAATGTTTTTTCAAATTAGTTTTTTCTAATTGAAGATATGTATTTGATTCGAATTTTAAAAGATTGTTATAAGTTTTTAATAATTCATATATGGGAGAAAGACCAAAGTAGTACTAAAACATTGAAAATATACCAAAATAGGACTTCCATGTTTTTATTCCTGAAATAGGACTTACATTACCAAATATGGTCATATACATTACCAAGAAAGTATAGTAACTTGCAAATGTACACTGCCACATTACCACAATGCAAAGTCACATTACCACAGGGCAAAGTCCTATTCGGGGAAAAAAACATGAAAGTCCTATTTTGGTACTTTTCTCTATGTTTTAGTCCTATTTAGGATGATTTCTATTCATATATTATGTAAAGTCAATTTATTGTTTTTATTTTATATTTAATTGTATATAAATGATGATTTTGAGAATATACAATAAATTTAGATAATAGAATGATCAATATACTCTTTAATTAATCATAATAATTTGAATAACATTATATACGGAAGACTATCTAAAAAAATATCAATTATAAAGGACCACGTAGTTAATTAGATTTTATAATGATTCAGATAATTAGACGATTGAATTGGGAACGAGTAATTTATTTTTTTTCTTTATCAAAATCAAGCTTGCATAGCATTATTCTGAAGAAGAAAGAAGGCCAGGCTTCAAAAAGATTCACGAATGGAGATAATACGAGCCTGTGGAGGTGGTTTCCATTGCTGCAATGCATTCAATTTGCTCCATCCCATCTCTATTTCTCATCCTCCGTTTCGAATAAGAGCTCCCGCTACTGACTTGAATCTGTCCATGAAGCCCAAACTCCATCGCCGGAAATCCACTGCGCGGTCACTTCTCGGCGACAGAAATTCCGGTGAGACGATAATCCTAGTCTAGACTTCCGATTTACTGATTTTATTCTGTTTTCTTCCCGCCAACTGCTCGACGGTGTTTCCACTTGAGTTTCCAGATTTCGCAGCGAATGTATCAAATGCGGACCTATCATTGTCAGTAAAGGTGAGACGATCCTCCGCCTGAAATGAATGGACGTGAAGCTTATTATTCTTCATAGTTTGGTATTGTTAGAAGAGCACTGCTTTTAACGGTCTAGTTCTCATCCAGAAGATGGCATCGGACATGTCTGTTGATATGAAAGGAACTTCTGTGTTTCTTCTTGGTGAGCATTATTACACTTATAACAACGGTTTCCCCTCATAGATCACGCTTGTTTTGTTTCTGTTTACTTATTTGCCAACAGAATTTTTAGTCCATATTACACTTTGGATCTTACCGTAGTATGAATTTATGCAGTTCTGGCCATCAACAATACAACACAAAACAAAACCAGTTATAATCCCAACTCTATTGGGGCTTGCTCTTGTAAAATATACAGTGCTTATTTTTTACCAAAAGCTTCATAGGATGTGTCATAAGCAAAGGAAGTTTACAGTGCCATTTAGGTGTAGTGCTACACAACTATCAGCAGTGTTAACTAATTTTGGACAATTCATTGACACTATACATTTCATACGAATGACTTTAACACAGCTGGGATTAAGGTGATGCTGAACTGATTATCATCTCTAAATCTGTTTTTAAGGGATGAATAGTTCCATTAAATCCAACTTGGGGATGCTTCTTGCTGATGCATTGAGATACCATTATATTGACAGGTAAGCAGATAGTTGTAACTACCACAATTTCATTTCCTGGATTATTAACCTATGGGAGTTTGGTGCAGTGATAGTGTAGTTGAAGAATCTATTGGAGGAAAGACTGTCGCTACATCAATTCCTCAAAGTAATGAAGGATTTCAAGAAGCAGAGGTGAGTTAGTTTTAATATTTTGTGCTTTATTGATTTATGGTTTTTTTCTAATGTCTGACCATGGGGCACATGATGAGAAGGAATTGAGGATCATTTAATGTGTTCCTTCTTTACCCTTGAATACATAATACAGTATTGTAAATAAATTTATCTTGATAAATGATAATGGTGACAAATGTATAAATTTTAGTGTTAATTGTATTGGTTTATGGAACCACGTTCATTTTATTTTTAAAAAGATCATGTTCTTTCTCAAAACTTGAAAATGAACCCCATCAAATGATACTCATCATGTGGTAGTTAGTCTGGGGAATTCAAGATGAGTTTCACTTATGCCTTAATGCCTTATGGTTGATTTAGTGCAATACTTTGTATGTTCAAATTATGTATTGCAGACAGAGGTGCTGAGACAGCTGTCATCTATGGGCCGACTGGTTGTTTCTGCTGGAAATGGTGCAGTTCGGTCTGCAACAAATCTGTACGAGCTATAGATTCCTTCAAACTTCTCCCAACTCATTTTGTTTACTCCAATTGTTGTTTACTCAGTTCGGTCTGCAAAATGGTTGTTTACTCATTTTGTTTTTATTACTCTTAGACTTATCTGGTGGGGGATTTTGAAGAGTGGGACGGAGGTGGTGGAGCTATAGATTCCTTCAAACTTCTCCTAACTCGCTCCCTCAATTTGTTTTTTTTTGGGGGGGGGGAGTGGCTGAGATTTTGGGGAGTTATTTATACTTACGTTTGTTAACCTTTTTTAATAAAAAAAACATTGCTCTGCATTATTAATGTTATACTTGCATCTTCATATTTTTTTCTCACAACAAAATTTACATCCCTTCCCCTATTTTGAACCAAACAAGGTCTTAAACAATGTTACACTTGCACATTTATTTACTCCTGATTGACCTATACTCTAGGGGACTTTTACGACATGGGATATCTGTATGGATAGATGTTCCTTTAAAGGTTGTTGCGAGAGAGATCATGGAAGATAAAGTTCAAATGCCTGCATTTGAAATTCCAATAGCTGGATCTTATTCTGAGGTTTAGAGTTTACAATTCAACGTTGATTCAAGTCATTTTGATTCAACTTAGATTGGGGAGATATATCAATAAATCATTGCTCACAACAACTTTGTGGAGTTCTTAAGGTTCTGAATTGATTCTTTGTAACAGGTGTTGGCTCAGTTGACTGGCCTTTATGAAGAAAGGCAGGGTGGATACGCAACAGCTGACACGACCATCTCACTCCTGAGTAAATATGCATTCTATGCTTTATTTATATAACGGTTGTCATCACCGTCACCACCTTAATCTCAGCTACAATGAGCATCAACTAATTACTTTTTCAATTGATGTTAACACTTTAAGTTCATGCATAAAAGCGCTGTAAGATTTCCTTCCTTCTTAGGAATCTAAGGAAAGAACAACAACAACAACAACAACAACAACAGCCTAGTTAAATCCCACAAGAGTAGGGTCTGGGGAGGGTGTGTGTACGCAGACCTTACCCCTACTCGAAAGTAGAGAAAAATGAACTAAAATAATATTAATGCGACAATGCTTTCAGATAACTGTTATAGTCATATCCCATTGCANAGCATTCCTTGTTTGCCCAAAATAAGTTTTGAAGCCTCAAACTTTTTTCCTTTTTCTTCCTTTGGTTTCGGGTTTGGGCGGGTAGTGCAGGTGGTATTATTCCAATGCACACCATGGAATATGACAACATATTTTCTTTGGCAGAAGTGGCTTCGCGATTGGGTTATGACAACCTGGAATCTGTTGGCACAGAACAACTGTGTTTGGAGGTTTTGCCCCTTTTGCACCCACTATTTGTTGTTTGATTTAAGTAAGCATATTTATCGGTCACTATAACTAATTTGGCGACAAAAATGCACATTTCTTTCCATTCTTTTTATGATGAGATATCAGGTTCTGAAAGAGATAAGCAAATTGATGAGGGTAAAGAAGATGATGGAAGAAGCTGGGAGGCCTTTTTAAGTTATGTGAGTCTTGCTAATACTTTTCCATCACTCCAATGACTTGCTGTATTTGGTCCTACTGCAACATTATGATGTAGGAATTCATTTTTCTATGACCAAATTTCATACCCAAGATACTTTGTGCTATGTATCTCCCATACGAAAAGCGACGATGATTTTGAACTTGGGATCCGTTTGATGGGAATACGGTTGTAAAAATATCGAATCAATCCAAACATACACATTTTGATTCGAATTAGATTATGTTTTTCTGGACGCAATCCTTTTGACTGTTTCATTCTGAGATATTTGGCATCATCAACATTAGTAGCCCGCATGAGTAGCTTAACTGGTTCAAGGAGAGGATGTCAAACCCGTTGATCCTAGGGCCGAATCCCGACGGCGGCAATGTGGGAGTTCTATTATTTGTAATAGTTCCTTGTGCGCACCGGGCACATGGCGGCCTCTCTAAGGGTCAGATTGAGATCATACCATGACTTACTTCCTTCACAATCCTGTCGAGCCGGAGTGTGAGGGCGCCCGGGATGGGCGTTCCACCTTTTTTGAGATGAAAAATAGCGTTTTTCTATTAAGCTTATTCATTGAAGAAAGAAATCTCGAAAGTTGAAATTTATGGGCGCAGGAAGAGAGAGAAGGACGCATTTGCCACCACATGATGCGTGTCTGTCTGTTACAAAGCAGTCGTCGCCATATCGTCATCTTCTCCAAATCAATGACTCGCATCTATTCTTTCCGCATAATGTACAAGTCTATGGAGCCCATATTGTTATCATATTGTTTGTACATGACCTGTGAAATACATGGTACGGAACTTTGGTGTGACCAGACTTTGGTAAAATGGTGAGAAAATGAAGAGCAAAAATGTAGTGTTTAGATGGGTAGAAAATGATAAGAAAATGGTGAGAAAATGATGTAAATATAAGAGAAAAAATGGAGAAAGAATGCTCTTTCATCTCATCGGGCTTATTTGGGAATAACGTTAGAAATTAGCGTTAGCGTTTTGAAAAAAGCTATCTACGACCAGCGTTTAGCGTTATCGTTTTCAAAGTAATCTGCACCGTTAAAATTTTATCCAAAAGGCTAAGGCTAATCTCTAACGCTATTCCCAAACAGGCCCATCATCGAGAAAATTTTTCACACTTTTTTTTCTTTTCTCCCTCCATTTTCTCACATACCCAAACAAGTGAATTTGCATTGATTTTTGTGTTTTCTCACATATCCAAAGACATTCTTAGGGCTTGTTTGGTAGCAACTTCAATATGTTGAATAAAATATCTGCTAACAATGTTTACCTTTCGTTTTTTGAAGAAAATATAATTTGCATTATTAAAAAGTTATCGACACTCTATTCCAAGTCGGACTCTATCAATCGTATTTTTGGTTTCTTAGCTATTTTTTGTATGAAATTGAGTTATGCATTTAATTGTTTTATTACACGAATTTGATCCGTGCAAATAAGAAAAATTAAATTTCATGTAACTTGATTTTACAAGGGTGTAAGATAAATAGTGAAAGACAGAACTTTGAACTAAAAAAATGAATTTTGATTTTAAAGCGCAAAGGCAAAGCATCTCAAATTTAAGAATTCAATGTAAACTGTAAAGTAGTCTTTGATTTTAATTATTTTTTTATGAAATGATAAATGAACATAAATAAGTAAATAAAAAATCATCATAACCTTGAAATAACAATTGAAGATTTTATTTGAGAATAATGGAGTATATCTTTATGGTTCACATTTCGTAATATTTACTACATATTTCATGACATGAACAGTTAATTTTTAGACAACTTAAAAGAGAAAAATAATCATCCAGAGTATCAGATTTTGTTAATAGGCATATATATTTTGTACCTTCTCAATTTTTTATTTTGAGTATGGAGTATTGTTTTACAAACAACAATAACAAAGCTTTATACAATTAGATATGATCGGCTACATGAATCAAACGATGTCATTGCGGCCTACATAGAGTATTGTTTTACAAAATTTTATAAATAAAAATACTTGAATAGAACATAAAATAAGAGACACCATTTCCATTTTTTTTCTCAGTAAAAAAAGAAGATAATGGAAGAAAATATGGAGAGTAATTAACTATACAAATGGCATATATCCTGTAGTTGGGAGAAGGCCTAAGAACTCATAAGAATAATAAGCCTAAGCATAACAACCAAACCAGCTTTTCTTCCACATTTTTTTTCTTGCTTCTTCAAAAACTCTAATCCCAGCTTTCGTCGTCTCTAGATGATGAATTGGTGATGATCGAAGCTTGTTTGGATGCATGTGCAGTAGCAGTAGCAGCAGAGAACGCAGATCGCTCGCGCTTTTGCATCACATCCACATTTTAATCGGTGATGAGTTGTTTTTGCTTAGATGGCTTTGTTTTGCTTGCAACTGGCTGCGATGAATCATACCAAACAAAAAACAAAAAAATTTTGCTTGTTTCGTATATAATAGATGAAACATTTGAAATTATATTTAATTTCTTATCAATGGATGTTATGATTTCAACTTTATCTCTGATTGCGTAGATATGCACATAATTGATTGTTCACTTTCGGAGGTTAGCTGATCATATTTATTTTTAATCCGGATTCTTTTCACCTTGTTTTCAATGGATCTCGCGTGTATTGTTGTTTAATTGATCGGAATTCAAGGGCAGTAAAAGACTTCAGCATTTTATTTCTCCCGTACTGATCAACATTCCAGTGGATTTGTGGTTATGTGAGATTTCTTGCTCTGAATTGTTCATCTAACAATTTGCTAAATGATCAATCATGTGTCGGCTCTATTTATCTATGTATGCTTGTATCTATCCCTCTAAATTGTTCGGCATTGAATTTCAGGCCAAAGCATCAGTCTCTTGCAAGAGCAATGCGCTTTTCCTTACCAGCACAGCAGGTCAGAAGATATGTTCCGGACTCTATCTTTAAACGAAAACCTGCTGCTATAATTTTCAGGTGGTTGTTTTGTGGAGTGGAAGATTAGGTGATGGTGTTTTCCATTTTTGTTGGTGTGTGCTTAGATTGATTGGCTTTCAAGATGTTTGTATTTTGTAACTCGCAAACTGTGGCGTTCATACATAATTCATCTGCATTGGAGAATTAAGTTTGTGAAACATTTGGCGTTCCGTGTGGACAAAGAATCAGGATTGTTGAGAACAAGAAGAAAAGAATTAGTCCTTTAAGGACAAATACAGAGAGATGGGTCTGCTTCGCATCTTATCCGATGACGATCCTGCTCATGAGGTGAAAAGCTTATTTGTTGAACCTACGTCCACATCCTCCCATTTTGCTGTCTCGGATCATTTACGTGGAAGACACTCAATAGTAGGCATATCCTCACCTAGAGGACTAGTTAATGGCAGCCTTGGAGATTTCAAGTGTAAAACCACTGTAGAGTTACCAAAATTTACAAATAAGATGTTTGATAGTGAAGGGATGGAGACAAAAGAGAGCCACCCCCTGTCCAGGAATGCTGGCTTTGAATTTGGTGGAAGTACAACTTCGTCTTCTCATTTAGATGGAGTTTCATGTAATTATGGTCAGCATTCTAATGTTTGTGAAATAGACCCTAGCAGATCTGCTGGAAGGAAACAGCTATTCTCACCGTTGACAAGCATGCTTTATGGCAAGCATGTCAATGGAGATTCTTTAGATGCAGGCGATGGTTGTAATCTTCAAAAGAATTTTCCTGTTGATTTTGATAATTATAGTAAGCTTATAATCCGAGATAGTATGAAGTCAAATATCATATCCAATGGTCAGACAAGGATACCAATCTCATGTGTATCCAAGTCCTCCAGAGTTTTGGTCCCTTTGGAACAAGATGACATTTGCAGTCACAACAGACTGAAGCCTGGGGTCTTAACAGATGGACCAATTCCAGTTGATAAAGAACTACCCACATTTAATCGTGCGCCAGAATATGAAACAAATGAATATATGGCAGATCTGATGTCTACCAGAATGGTGGCCTCATCCACTATTTCTTTATCTCCCCTCTGCCCAAAAGTTTTTGAGAAGAAGAAAACAGCATGCAGTGGCAGAAAGATGGTCAAATGCTTAGAATATCCCTTAGGTGGTTTCTTTCCTTCAGATGATGGGAGTTTTAAAAATGGAAGTGAATCATGGACAGAGCCTGACATCTACAAACAAATTCGGCCCTCATTTCCTGAAGAAAGAAATCCTGGAACCGGTTGGCCATTTGCTTTCTCTCACAGGGTGGACACTGCAACACTATGTGTAATGGCTAGAAGTGTGAGATGCCCCCCTGTTAGAAGGTCACTTATTGGTTCATTTGAAGAATCCTTGTTGTCTGGCCGGCTATCATCTGGAAGATTTAGTAAGGTACTTGTTTCTTATTTTCAATGATAATCATGCGTCTGGCTTGTTATGCAGTCATTAAATAAACATTCTTAGCATTTGACAACTCCCATGTACAGAAAATAAATGGTTTTCTAGCTGTATTGAGTGTTACTGGAGGGCATTTCTCTCCAAAATCTAGGAAACTACCTTTTTCGGTTAGCAGCATTGATGTTGAGAGATGCCTACTGTACTATGCTTCTGTTGATCTTGCTGGACCATTATCATCTGAAAACTACAGAGGAAACAATTTGAAGAGAGGAATTGGTGATGACGATTCAAGAAATGAAAAGGGTCGGTTCCGTATCCCAATGAAAGGGCGCATACAATTGGTAAACCACTTTCTTCTTTTTGGGTAATATTTTTGTTCATTTGGTTGAGTTTTTATAGTGCTCTTGCATAGCACTCAGATGTTGAAGGCAGGGACATGCTATTGAGCATTATTTCTATACATTGCCAATGTTTGTTTTTGTGTCAAGTAATTGTCTAAAAATATTTAACACTGTTAATTCATGCAAAAAGCAGAAGGCTAGTGAGAGCATTTTCTCGGATACCCTTCTTGTGGCAACTTCCTAAAGGAGCGGCTTTGAGATTAATTTCAACTGTTATCATGATATCATTGAAGATTTATCCAACCTACATAAAAAATATCATGAAATTACAGTGAGTTGATATTTGTCGATGTCATATCCCAATGCAAAAAAAAAATGTTTGAATTTTTGCTGCTCTTTGACCAATGTCTTTCATTTTTTCTATAAGTTCTTTATTAAACTGCAATTCCCTGAACACATTTTCCTTTTTTATATGTTTGTGATTTTCCTATCAAGCACATGGTTTTAAAACATATTCAATTACCGCCTTGGTGCGGGTTTGCAATAATGGCAATTTTTTTTGCAGGTTTTAAGCAACCCGGAGAAGACTCCCGTGCACACTTTCTTTTGTAACTATGATTTATGCGACATGCCAAGGGGTACAAAGGTGAACACATGTTTCTAGCCGATTTAAATTTCTCTTTGTCTTTTGTTATTTTGTTTCAAAACAAAATTCATCTACACATGTTTTTGTCTGATTTTTTTTACATCTATGAGCTGCAACACTATGAAGCCTGAAAAGGGCAAATGATCAAAAGTAAAGAATTGACGGAACCAATGTTTTTCTGTGCAAATGTTTCAGCATTTCCACCGAAGCACTAACTTATATTTTCTAACAATAACTTGGCTTCATTAGTGACCCTAACTCATCCTTCATTCACCATATATATGTTAAGACATTCTTGCGCCAGAAGATCTTGCTCTCTCCGTATGGCTCAAGCTGTCCAGGTGAGAAAAAGGATAGCAGTGAGGGAGTGAGACAACCCACTGCTTCTTTTCCAAAGGTTAATAAGAACGGAAACACAACTGGTCCGGGTGATGTGATTCGATATGCTCTTCATCTACGGTTCCTGTGTCCTCAAAAGAAAAGCACCCCCCGGTCTGCCCAAAGATGCAAACCCGATAATCCTCAATCTTTGTCTGAAAGAGGCAAAGCAGGTGATAAAGACGACCGGGTGTTCTATCTGTACAGCGATTTAAGGGTTGTATTTCCACAACGCCAAACAGATTCTGAGGAGGGAAAGGTATATATGTGCTTGAACGGATTTGGATGTGGTGGACTCATCAACCATCCTGATGGAATCTCAAACACACAATTGATATCATAAGATTCCATGTGGCTGGTTGGTCGAGTACGTAAATATCATATGATAAACTCATTTGCTGAACCTCATTTTTGGCTTATTAACCAATTTTTTCGCTAAATACCGACATTTTTTTTGGCTTACATACGTTTAACATCTCTTTGGTTGCTTGTGTGCCTCTCTACTTTGTGAGTTGACAAAAATAAAAATGCAAAACTGATGAAGAAGGTTTTATTTGGTGGTTGTGGTTGCAGCTGAAGGTAGAGTACCATTCTCCAGAAAACCCAAAGTACTTTAACATTGGTTGCTGAGTTAGTCACATGCCCCCCTACTTGTACATACATAATCATTATTATAATAATAACAGTATATAAAGTAGGTTGTAGTTTTATATATCTACTGCATGGTCGTGCAAGTTGACATTTAAGTTAATGTGTAAAAGTTATTTGTCTCTTTTTCTTAAAGGTATTATTATTGCTCAAAAGCTAGTTAAGAAAAAAGAAATAGAATGCCACACGCGTCTATGCAACCCAAAGAAATGAGTTTGATGGCTCCAGTTATCAGGGACTCTGACTCAATTTACTCTAAACAATACTAACATTAGCTTTTGTCCCAAATTAAAGGTGAGAGTTCGATTTTTGAAGTCAAATTCCATCAACTTGTGATACCTATTTATATGCCTTAAAGTTCAATAATACTCGTATAAAATTATTCTTGACAATTATATCCCGTCATACTCTCATCCCAGAGTGATTTTTTTTAATCAACCAATATTTATATTTAAACAAAATTTATATTTCTGTTTCAAAGTGTTTGTCCAATTTTGATTTTTTTAATCAACCGATATTTATAATTTAGTACTAAGTATATTAATTAGATAAAATAATGTTTTGAAAATATCTAACAAGATGAATCTTATAAAAAGTATCTTTATGGTCATAGTTTATCTATTTTGATTATAAAAAGTTAAAACTGAACAAACACTCTGGTATAGAAGAAGTAATAATTAACGGTCAAGTTTGATACAGAGTAAAATTTAAATGCAAAAGTAGAAGTGTCACTGTCAATTTGGGTGGTAAGGAGTAATAAAAAGGGATGGACCCCGTAAGTATTTGATCTTAAATACTCCGTATAATGATTGAGGTGCGCAAAACAGTTCAACCCCCAAGTAATTTAACTCTTACACACATGGTTAATTGAGTCCAACCATGTACTGTCATATGTATATTATAAATACAACAACACAAGACCAAAACAAAAAAAAACACAGCAGTAATGCTTTGGTGCATGTAGCATAGGTGGTGTCTGTGTGATTTGTGATTAGAGATCAGTTGTTGTATTTGTATGGGTGTTGAGGAGGGAAGCAAACCAGAAATAAGAGCAGGCTAGAGCTCAAAGGTGGGGACCGGAGAACGAAAGCCGCCATGGGTGGCCTGGTAAAGCAGTCGAGGTAATAAACTCCTGTACGGATCCCTCTCTCTCTTCTCCTTCAAATAAGCTATGCATTTGTTCACTTCCGATTTCACCTCCATATACACTTCTTGCGCTTTCTCCCGGCTTTTCAGCTCCTCTTTCCTTCCTGCAACATCATCCTTTTAACATTTGATATATATATATATATATATAGAGGATGCAGAGCAATTTTGCATTGGTGTCTCAAAATATCTTAGTCGAGCTTCATCACGTGCAACAGTGATTCCTACCCGATTGTCATGTTTCATTTATTACTTCCTTTGCCCGATTTTGCTTGTTCACTTTTTAAAATAACTCAAACTCCCTCTTTGTCTCCCGAAAAATTTCTCACTTTTCCCTAACGTTCCATAAAAAAACATCCGGGTGGAGTATACCAGTTTGCAGCTAGATTTTTGTGGGGTTTCGTGTGTGTGTGTGTGTGTGTGGCTCTACAATATGCATACCTTCTGTTTCGATTGGCTTTCCGAAATAATAGTAAAAACGGCCCGGTAGCTTTGGAAGAATGATTGGAAGATGCACATCTTGGTTTGCAAGTTCCCCTTGCACATCATTCCTGCATTCATTCATTCCACACAGTAGTAAAATCTCATAAAAAGTGGAGTTTGGGGAGGGGGTGTGTACACTGTACACTGTACACAGACCTTATCCCTACTATACTAGGTAGTAGAGAGACCCCCCTGGCTCAAATATGGAGGTACAGACAAAGAAACCATACCTCAAGTTCACTACCTCATCGGTTAGTTTCTGTATTGAATTCTTGAAATATGGGATCTTCATCAGGTCGTGGTAATCAAAGAGCAACTGCAAGGAAGTAGGAACGAACGAATTCCATCATTACTCTACTTATTTGTGTTATTCTTGCATCTGTCGATACAAGAAAAAATAGTTCTGCAATGATGCAATCCTTTGCGTTTAGCCATTTTACGGTTTTAGCTCATGATTTTCATTGGCTGAATTGTAACATAAAATAGTCGGCAATGACATTTGCTCACTCATGACAGAAGAGCGTCTAAACGCAAACAATTCAGGAATGACCAAAATTGCATTCTTTTTTAATTGAAAAAATGCAAACAACCGAGGAATGACCAATATTGCCTGTAAAAAAATCCAACTAAATGAATAAACAGAAATGCTAAAGACATACTTCACCAACATCATCCGCTCCAACAACGCCAAAAGGTACAATTTTGGCTCCAAATCTGGCTGCCATCCTCACAAATTCAGACTGTTCTGGCCAGAACAATTGGTATTCTTCACCCTGAAATTATGGACAACCATATTTTTATTTGCAAAAAAATACACAGATTTCTATTATCTCCTAATATCAACTTGTACGAAGAAAGAAAGATGCATGATGAAATATACACATTATTGCTAGACAGTTTCGGTTTGGAGCTCGGTAAGAATGAAAAATACTCTATTCATCTCCAAATTAAATTTACACTTTCTTTTAAGACTTCTCACCTTTCCATTTCAAAAATAGAATATGTAGCTCACAATATTTCTCTCTTTCAATCAAATCCCTACCACACTTTTCAATATTCAACACTTTTCTTAAGCTCAACTGAAGTCAAACTACAAATTTTTAATTTGGGGACGGAGGGAGTACTAATTTTCAAATGTAGGGTGAATTGAAGGACTTACCTTGCGGTGAAGAGCTTCCCGCATGCCACCTGGATAGAGTAGGACATGGGAGTTGGAGGACATAAGTTTGAAGAAGTTGGAGGCGGATACAGGAACAGCACCCATATACCGGAACGGATCATATGATGATAATTCAGGTAAAGATCCCCCTTCTTTTTGTCTGGAGAACATCAGAGGATGACCTATCCCACGAAGAACAATCCCCTTCTCAAGCAAGAAACGAGACACTAAGGGAACCAGTTCAGTTCCCAGCATCATGTGATAGCCCACAACTAAAACAGGTCCTTCCTGTGGAATCCCAGCCAGGCCTTCCACAATCTCCCCGTTTCCCAAAGTCGAGACCATCACAGGATTGACAGCAACCTCAGTCCACCTAAAGATCAGATACAAGACACGTTAAGGAGCACTTAGGGGATGTTAGGAATTGCTTAGTAATGGTCCTTCTCTAGCTCTCTCAAATACACATTGAGAATTAAATAGTTTACTCAATACTGTATGTTTAAAACATGAAATGAAAGGAAAGTTGGTGTTTTAGTCCTTCTACTGTTCAAAATACCACATTGTAGTCCATTAATGGCAAAACAATGTCATTAAGGGTAGATTTGGTCAGAGGGGATGGAAAGGAATGGAAAGTTTAACTTGAAGTGTGTTCTCAGTAGGAAGATATTGGAGGGGATGGCAGGGAAGGGAAATAAATAGTACCATTCCCTGTCCTACACTCCAACCAAACACCCTAAGATTAACCACAAAAAAAAAAGGTTCATTTCAACATTAACAGTAGTACCTGAATGGCTCGTACACTTTTTGAAACTCTAAAGGTTTTGGCGGCAGGTAATCAGTGACGCAATCCCGGCGTGCTCCTCGTTTATAAATTCCGGACTTTTTTATGACACAAACTAAATCCATATCATTTTCCTGGTCAGAGAAATAGTTCACGTTAACAGGTGCTACATTTTGAGTAATATGTGCACCTTAACAATGTCTAAGACAAATCCATCACAATAATGAAGTTAATAAACAAGGTTGTGAATTGGCAATTTAGATATGCATAACATATAAAAATAGACTGAACTTCATAGTACCCATTTTAGCCACACAAAATTGTCCTACACCAATTGTTGTTTTTCAAAAAATTCGATGCATATTCTTTTACTTTAATCTTCAAAAACCGCTCATAAATCACCTGTAATGTACATTATTTGAAACAAGGATAGAAAGGGTTATTTTTTAATAAAATGTGAGCAGTTGTGCACCATTTTAAAACATTCTTTATTATGGGATGGCGGCATGAAATTAGAGTCAACAGAATTTCAAGTGTCTGGAAAGGAAATTAAATTCTTTCATTCTTTTATACTATGTTTGGTTCAAGGAATTTGGTGAGGGAAAGAAGAAAGTGATAATAAAAACAATTTTTCTACACAATTTATACACTTGGAGACAACATAGCCTTAATTTTCTAAAATTAGTCTACATAGAAGGATAAAGTCTATCTTACATTCTTACCAAGAAAAGGGCATGACCACTATCATTAAATTGTCTGATGTCACAATTTGGTAAAACACGGCGAAGTCTTTCACCTTCCTCTTGACTGGGTAGAAATTCATCTTTCCCGCTGCATAGAGAGAGAGAGAGAGAGAGAGTTTTCAGACCTTCACTCTTATAACAAGGTTATAATTTACATTTTGAAAAAGTACCTAGAAAGTATCAATGTTTGGGCTTTAACAGCATGTAGCCGAGAATTAACATAAGCTGCAGCTGAGTGAAGCATCTTCAGCCTCCAAATTAGTGTTTCTACAGGTAAGACATCAGCCAGCACCTGTGACCTTTTCCATCATTCTTCATTGTTATACCATAAAATAAAATAGTATCATTTCAGCTTCTGTTTTGACCCAACTGAACTGAATCAACCCACCCATACCCACTCAAATATCAAATCGTATTTCATGTGGTTTTAGTTTGGTAATGTTTTTCGTAGACCATATTAATACGAACCAAATCAAAACAAACTGTGCTTGGTTTAAGTCAGCAGTCATTCTCCCTACCTTTTTTCCACCAAATGAAATTGAAACCCGCAAAAACTTACAAACTGAAATCAAAATGTCTATCCCTAGATAAAATAGATTCACCTGGGACCAAGATCTTGTCCAAAAATATGGATATGAGGAATAAATGATGGGAAGAACTACATAGTTGTAATGACCAAGTAATCTCAAGATTTTGGGTCTTACAGAAACATAGGATGAAAGTGCACCAGCATTTTGAGATAGCTCTTCAACTGTCTGTTGCAAAGGTAACCCCTTCGCAAATGTAGCCAAGGCTGTCCTTAAAGGAACACCTACATAGGCAGTTGTTTTATTACAGTAACATCAAATCTAATGCTTCGTTTGTTTACAAGGAAAATATAGGCAACACAACAAACCTGAGATAAAACTTAACATGTAAACCATTGGAGGGTATAGTGTCTTGGGTGTGACATCTATCAGAGCCAATATACTTTGCAGCCTAGATTTACTGAAAGATGTACCTGACAAGAAGAGTTGTCCATAATAAGTAAATAAGAATAGCAAGTTATTAAATATTTTGTGCTTTTACATGAAAATAAGCAGACTTCTCACCTGGATTAGCCAAAATTAAGACAAGATCGACATCGGGATTACGAGCAGCAACAGCTAGTGCAATGCAAGCGCCTAAACACTCCCCAACAAGATAAATGGGTCTTTTAGGTGCATTGCAAAACTCTGACCTCACAGTTTCTTCAACCAGCTTCACCAAATCTATACATATGAGGCCGGAAATGATTAAATGAAGCGTGTTATATTCATCCCACACATTGTTCTTAAGTGCACTAGGCAGTCTCTCTAGGTGGCAGAAAATATAGGAGGCCAGAGTCCTCCATATGAAAACTTTAAAGAATGGCAAGGTTGCATGGAGGAATTTTTGTAATCCATCATTTAGAACAATGATTGAGTCACCAACAGGTTGCCTATAGGATTTGAGTCTAATATATCTGAAATCTAAATGTTCTTTTTTTGCTTAGGAATTGATGCATGAACATATACAAGAGGTAAGGTAAATGGGACCGACCTGTGAATGTGGATCTATCTGCAAGTGGAATATGCAAGCAGCAAACATCAAAAATCCTTGATGCCAGTAGAAATTCAGAAGAAAAAAGTTCGTCAAAATTTCCAAAGAGACATATTTTATGCATTATTCTAGTGAAATTGTTCGAATTCCAAATACTGGAAATGGAAAGTATGGTTCAAGGAATTTTGAAGGAAAGAAAAGAAAATGGTTTTCTCTCCTTTTGCTCACCAAAATGGGAGGATTTTGATTTTCCTTCCCCTTATTTCATTATGCTTTGTTATTTTGTTTTCCTTCCACTTTTCCTCTCTAACCAAACATGTATATTTTTTCTCTCTTATTTTCTTTTCCTTTCCCTTTCAAATTCCTTGAACCAAGCAGTGTAAAAATCCATGCTTGGAAAGAAAAAGAATCAAAGAAAGAAATATTTCTTACTCTCCCATATTTTTTTGTTGCAATAAAAGTCCGAGTCCAACGCCATCAATGCCTGCAATAGTTCAAAAAAATAATCTGAGCAGTATTTTTGAATAATTTTAAAGGGATATTTCACTGTATGGATAATCAACTTCTGAAAGATTAATGATCCGGAGTGGCTATAATAAAAAAAACTTGCCATGCTTTGACTAGTTAAAAGACAATCTAACTTAAAGGGATATTTCACTGTATGTACTTTTATTGATTATTTGATAAAATAAAATAATTTTGTTGTTTTGTGTAATTTGAACACTTTATTTCTATACCAATTTGTAAATAAAGTAATTTCAAAAGAAATATGGTTTTACATGTTTGAAGTGAAGTTTATTTTGGGACGGAAGGAGTAATAGTATACTGAACAGCCAAAAAGCGCCCGGTTTTATGGCATATTTTTCTCCTTTGTATTCATATTGCGTAGTAGTATTGTTTACAGAAATAGATAGAAGGATAATTATATGTGACTCAGCTTGGGAAATGAATGTTTTTGTTTTCATTTGGAATATGACATTTTGATCTAGCTAGTGTTTAGATATCTATTTAGTAAAACATTGTAATTGAGGAAAATACTCATTTCCTTTTAAGTAAAGCCATGTTGAGTATATATGCTTTATACTCCGGGTATTATTTATCCCTCTTGTAAATAATTTTACGTCTTGTTTGGTAACAACATTTTCGATTAACGTTAGCATTTAAGATAAAATTTGAATGGTGTAAATTAATTATAAACATGTTAACGCTAACTTATGATGTTGTTGCCAAAAGGGGCTAAAACCAAGCAAGGGTTTTCAGCTTTATCAAAGGCTCCCAAAACAGCCACCCCACTCCCACGATAATGACATTTCATATTCTATTTTTAGAATAAGATTTAAGTTCTATTTTCCTGATCAGATTACTATTCAGGGCTTATTTTTAGTAATGAATTAATGATTGTTGTGGGCATTAATTAAGCTATTAACCTGGCAAAAAGAGCAATAGCGGAGAGCTTTGCGATCGTTTCTCGGAGAAATCCAACGGGCAAAACCAGCGGGCCGGGCCGCCGTCAGATCTGAGCATCTCCTTCGACTGCTGGAGGTAATCCTTCAATGTCCAGCCTCCGTCGTCGAATTCCCGGCCATACCTATGAGTATCACGTCGTGTCGCCGAATTGCTCGCGGAGGTCCCGTTATCGGAGATGGTTGGGAAGGCGGGTCGGTGCTGATTGTCCGCGAAGACGCCTGACTTATTGATGGTGGCGCCACATGCGATCGCCGGCGGCGGATCCTTGTAAGAGCTTGTGGGGGGATGCAAAAGTCTGGCCGCTGATGTCGAGAATCGCAAATTGCAACCGGGAAAGGTGGTTCCGGCAGCCATGGCGCCACTGGGAGCTAAGTGGTAGGCGCCAGCTTCTTATTTGAGTCAATCGGTGTGAGATGTGTCGGATTAGCGTCCATTAAATGCCGTAGTAAAATTTTACTTTTTCACACCCTTTGTACTCCGGTCTCCGGTCATTGATTTTAGGATAAATTTACTTGTACCTCAAATATTCTACTCTAAAAAAATGTATCTCAAAAATTTACATTTATAATTTGAAAAATGTTAGGGGTATCCAAAAGTGTATCTCATTTGTTTAACACTTCCTCCTCCACTACATAAATAGGTAAAAAACTTAAAAATAAATAAATAATTAAAAATGAAATAAAAATATGTGATGCAAAAGGGGATGGAGGACAAATGGGGTACACATTTGGTGTACTTCTAGCATTGCTCTTATAATTTATTTAATGTAAGTGCAAAATTGATGTGATAATATTATTCATCAACATGTAAGTATACCTTTTGGGATACACCTAGCATGTAATATTTGTTCATATATTCATGACACATTAAACACGTAGAGTTATTATCCTCACTAGAAATGAGCCTGTGACCTCTAATATGAGAGAGTCATTATCGTGTTGATAGACTATAAAGTTTTTGGTTGATACTTCTTTTGTCCTAAAAACTCCATGTTTTGACTTTTTTAGTCAAATAGTATTACTCTTTGACTGTTAGTCGATGTGCCCACGTCTCAGAGAATGGGTGAATAAGGTGTTAAAATTTTTTTTGGAGTTTAATAAAATTGGTGTTGTCAAACATGGAAGCAATAAATAAAACGCATAACTAGAAGCGTAAGATGAATGACACACCAATTTATGGTGGTTCGGGAACTCCCTACTCTCGTACCTTAAAGCTCCTCATTAAGGATTTCTGAATCCACTAAGTTCCGACCTGTTAAACCTCGTTAAAGCATTGTACTAGATTTGCCAAACAACCTTTGCTAATAGGATTCACCCCAAGATTTTACAACGGCTATCTTAGCCTTTTATAATGAAGATTTGCAAGCTATCTTCAACCTTTCCCTTAAGGATTTGAAAGTTGTCCGGCCTGCAACCTTTTACCCAAGGATTTATCAGTTATCCGTTACCGTTACAACGATTCTGCACAACGATTTAACACAAAGATGGAGAATAGGACTTAGCCGGTGTAGAACAAAAATATACTCTCTATAAAATATACAAGATCAACCTATAGATATGAGAATATATATATCTATATCACAAGCTCAATAGTATGTGTATAAAATCATGAGAAAAATGGCTCATAAATTAGCCATAATAGTAAGAATGAAGAATAAAAGGATTAACACACTTAGAATACTCCGTATAAAATACTGTATGAAGTTTAAGAGCTTGGGTTATTGTTTAAAATGAAGGACTATAGCCCTATTTATAAATGGATATCAAATATGACTGTTAATGATCGTTTGGAGCTGACTTGGAATAGTAAATGTATTAAAAGTGTTTTAAAAGGAAATTAGCAATTTTAAAAAATCTAGACGTTGAAACGGTACCTCGGTGCTGCCTTAACATTAAGGGGTGCCGTCCTAATAATACTTGGGTCCCGGAGTAATAGTAGCTAGTTACCTTCTCAAGAATAAAGGCTTTGACGTTAATTGTCATAACGGTACCACTTTTGGTATGGGAGTCCCGAGTCAGACGGTAATCGGTAGGGGGTCCCCTTTTAGACAATACTTAGGACCCGGATTACTGTGTAGGTTTTTGCATTTTTGGCTAAATCTTTTCTGATTTTTCTTAAAATATTTTGAATGTTTGAAAATGATTATAAGAAGGGTTTAAACATATTTTGTGAATATATATATATATATATATATATATATATATATATATATATATATATATAGAAATGAGATCAGGTGAGAATGACATCTAATGAAAGAAAAGAGAATATTTTTAACCCCTTAGATCTACTCAGATCTGGAATTGAGATACACTAATAGGAATGGGCATTTTAGAGATTTAACATTGCAACCTTTTCTCTCTCCTATTTTGTATTGAACGATCCACAGAATAAGGCACAATCTATCTCTTTATGCTCATGTTTCCTTTTGTAGTAAGGATATTATCTGATCAAAAAGTAAAGACTGAGGATCATTGCTTTGATATTTCTTCTTCACAGATCTTGTTCTGGATTGAGAACGAGAGAGGTTCTAATCGACCTAATCTTGCAGCGAGAGATTTTGGAAGATTGGGGGTTGTATTTGGCAGATCGTCTCTCCATCTAGGTAAATTTTTCTTCTCATTAGCGTTTCTATTTATTTATTTCTAAATTTTTGATAATATTATGCTATGTGAAATTCATACTTCTGGAATTAAAATTCCAAATGGAATTACACTATCAAATTTTACCTTTTTGTATTCTAAAATTTACGTTCTATGTAATATCCTTATGCATATGTTACATTTGTTGAATTAATTTTTTAGTTCCTCCCTTATGTTTTCTTATATTTACGTTTACTACATTTTCAAATTCAAGTAATGCATTACTAGATCAATGGAGTGCATTATCATTTCACCGTGTTGCAAAAATGAGAAAACTGATGGGTATAATAATTGAATATTTGACATGTTTTGCTAATTTCACTAGTTTATGTTATTTCTGTTTTTTCAATTGTTTCGTGTTGTAGTTCATTTACATGAGTTGTATTTTGGTTCCCGTTTCTTTTTAAATACTTTTGCACATAAACTGTTTGTGAAAATGCCCCAAAGAAAACTAAGTGTAATTTGAAACTACGAATAGTAGTTGAACGAAAGTCTTTTTCAAGTTTAAATGCATAACATATGCTCTTGATATGCATGTCAAAGTATACAAAATGCGTTCTATTGCATTGAAAATGAAAAATAAAGAGCATTTTTAATATACTGTGTTGTTATTTTTTATTAGATCTACTCTTTCTAAATGTTAATGTGAATGACTTGTGGTTTTAATTTGGAGAGATTCTAGATATGCAATTTGTATTTTGTTTGGATGTGGTATGATGAGTCATATTTATGGTGTGTTCTCAAATTCAAACATCTTTCTTTTATACATATCATTATGTATGATAAACATTGCACTCTTACTCTTTTGTGAAGTATTTATGTAAATACAACTCGTCTTGATAGTGATTTTTATATATCTTACTTTTGTGTTTGTTTGTGTGTGAAATGGTGCAGTGTCACAGTCGCGGCAATGCACTTACATGAAAAGGTAATGCATTCTCATAATTAAGATTAAGGATAATGCATTATGTTATTGTACATTTTCATAATCAAGGTAAAAGATACCACATTCTATTATTGTGTTTTCTCATAATCAAAGTTGATGCATCTAATGGTAAAATTATCCTTACATAAATATGATGCATCTGTATAGTCTAGATATTGAATTTTCTGTACATGATGATGCTTTAAGATGTTCTATCTTACACTTGAATATGAGTTAGAAACTTGTTGAATAATGTAAATTTAAAAAGATTAAAATGCATAGTTAATATATCCATGTGCAAGATGATAATCTCTTTGAAAAGAATTATTGCCTATTAGCTCAAACGGTAGAGCGATATGTATTACGGATGTGGGTTCGAATCCCACATAGGCAAACAATTTTCAAATCTGTATTAAACTTGTTCTGAATGCAATGCATTCTCAAGTTTTCCCATCACATACAAAGTCACTCATGAATAATTATTCACCGATCCACAAATTATAAATTTTTAATAAAATTCAAAGGACAAATCAAAGCGAACATATCAACCATCACAGTGCATGCATAATTTATAATACAAATTGCAGCTATACAAGAATGGTGCATACAGAAAAAACTATTATGTGTGAAAAAAATGTATTTATTAAAAAATATTAAATAAGTGATGAGAAGTAAAAAAGGGTAATTGAATACGGGGTAGTTTTTAGAAGAAAGAGAACATTTATAAATCATACATTTTTTCTTCCAAATTGAAAATAGAATATATCCTTTGCATCCTTAAAAATGCATTAAAATAAAGTAAAAAAGAAATAAATTATTTTAAAGAGTTTAATTGTAAATATATTTATTATTGATTTTTATAGAAAAAAGTGGTTCATAAATTAAAAAAATAAGAAACAATTAATATTACTACCCATGAATCATGAAGCGCACGTTTAAAAAAGAAAAAGAAATACCCCTTAAATAATATGACAACCATAAAGGCTAAAAACGTGGAAGTAATTAATGTGCACTCAAGAGTTTTATTTTAAGCAAATGGCGTAAATGGTAAGATAATATTCATCCCTAGATATTTAACGTGTATTAAGGAATTTTTTGTTCCAGATTTACCCCCACGAGATAATATCTCCAATTTTAGATTTACCCTAGTTATTAATTTCCTAATTATGGCAAAACTTAAAAAATGCATCTTAGCCCCTAATTACATTCGATCCAACGTCTTCTGATCATTCTCATTTCTTTCACAAGGGATCATTCTCACTTGATCCAACCCCTATATATATATATATATATATATAAAATTGTATCCTTATATTTATTCATACCTATTTTCTACGCTAATTTGTTGTTTCAACTTTATTCTTAAGAATTGTTTCTTAATTGATTCTTGTTGTGCCTGAAACACTCGAACAAACATTAGTTCATACTTCCTCCGTTCCACAAAACTCTTCCTCTTTCGTTTTTTTGCTTTCCACAAAACACTTCTACTTTCTATTAAAAAAACCACCTTTACCCCTACTTTTTCATACCCCACCTATCACATCATACTTTTTTCACTAATAACCAAACTATCAGATTTTACTTTTTCCCATCACATCAGGGGCAAAATTAGAAAGTCAACCAAAATTACACTGATTAGAAATTGTGACACGGAGGGAGTATATTATTTGTTAACATCAAAATACAAGATTTAGTAAATCAAGATTAGAAATTGTGACAAAATATATTTAATTATGATGTAAATTTAATATAATTAGGTTTATGTTAGGATATAGTTTTGCTATATCAAATGTATTTAACATTTATTTATCTAAATTATATTTAATTTGTAGTCAAAGGGTATCATAAATAAGAAATATAATACTCCATATTATTTTCCTCTTCAAAATTTATCATCTTTAATTCTTTATTATCTTTTCTCCCTAAAAAATTGCATCCAAAGAGGGGGGTGCCTATAAAGCACTTTCATGTCTCAAACCAACCTTGTGCAATTTGATGTCATTCATGTTTTTTTTTTTTTTTGAAAATTTGAGGTATTGCATCGTTTTTTAGTTGGAGTTACTCCGTAACATTTTAGATAACCTTTCTAAAGGGTACAAGTAATAGGAACATTTTTTGGGTTACCCCACGTAACTAATTGCAAGTGCAACTGTGTCCAGCCCTAAGTGGAAGCTTTGTTTTTTATAATCTCTTTTTTCGTCGAAACGACACGTTCTAAGATCAGACTCTCTCTCTCTCTCTCTCTCTCTCTCTCTCGTTTTCACTCGGAATCTGAGAGCTATGGCGAATCGGCCGAGGAACTCGTTGCTAGCATTTCTCCTGTTCTTCTTCTTCTTCTTCTCGGCTTCATGGACCGCCATCTCCAGCTCAGAAGGACCTTTCATCGTCGCCCACAAGAAGGCAACCTCTACAAGGCTCAAATCAGGCACCGAACGCATCACCGTCACCATCGACATCTACAATCAAGGATCTGCGTATGTTTTCTGTTAACATCCATCTCTTCTACTTTCCTGTCCAGATCTGTGCATCTGTCCCCATTTTCCTCTCTGCATGCTAGCTTCTTCAATTCTATGTGTCCCTGATTCTCTCCTCCTGATGCATTCAAAATTTTCATTTCTCTTCTGTATTGAGTGTATATGACAGGAAAATCATTTGATCGCTGGATTGATTCTTCTTCTTTTTTTTTTTTTGTAAAGATAACATCGTCCAGTTTAGGCTGGTGAATTTAAATTGGTGAACCCAATTTTCCGTTGAGGGACGATTTATTTCACATTTAATTTGCTGACTGTAACTGCTAGTCTACTAGCTTTATCTGCTTTCATTTGCTGCCGATTGATTAATTAAGGCTCTGCTTTGTATTAAGAAACTCTAATAATATATGTATTTTTTTTATATGTACAATCTACTGCCCAACCAGTTGCATTTATTTGTAGTTATATTATGTTTTGCGTTGATACTCTAGAAGGTATCAGGAAAATCTCTACTATTCACATTTGATGCCTTGCATCTTTACCGATGGGGTCTATCTCTAATGTTCTCAAATGTCTATGTTCATAAAAGATTTGTTCGCTGTGACAATCTGAACCAACATACCATCATGCTATTTGACTTATAAGCTGGGAAAGCGTATTGCTTGATGCATGCCCTGAAAATATTGAGCTATAGTGTTTGCATATGCAATTATCTTACTTCACTGGAGGGCACATTTGGATAATTTTATGGTAATTGGGAGTTGGTATAATTGCGTGTAGTTACAGTCTTTGCGGTGTTTGGTTGGTCTTGTAATTACAAAGTCAGGGCATAATTGGAGTAATTGAAAGAGTTCAATTATACTTCCCAGTTTTGAAAGGGAGCCGTTAGAATTGGTGTAACCAAACAATCTAAAGTGTAGTTACATACTTTATTTTTCCCGCCGAAATATTCCAACTTGCAGAGAAAATTGTACTATAAGTTCGAATTTCCCAGTAGAACGTAGGCAGTAGTATTTACACCGTGACTATCAACTATCAAACAATCTAGGTAATTACATAACCGTAGTATTTATTACCCAGGTAATTACATAGCCTTGTGACTGCACTTTGGTATCCAAAAACTTTTTAAAAGGCAAACTTCTTCCGGGTAATAAAATTGTGGGGTTTTTCTTTTAACATTGAATAGTGTCTGCTTTTCAGGACTGCTTATGATTTGAGTCTTAGTGATGGTAGCTGGCCCGAAGATGTGTTTGACATTGTTGCTGGTAACACTTCCATGTCATGGGAACGTCTTGATGTGTGAGTTCTTGTTTATTGACCCATCTATACTTTCTTTTTTATAAGTCGACCCACTGTGCTCTTGCATACATTTCTTTTTTTCCGATGGTAATGTATGATTTCAGAGGCGGTTCTCTATCACATTCTTTTGAATTGGAGGCCAAAACTAAAACATTGTTTTATGGTGCACCGGCAATCATAACATTTCGCATCCCCACCAAGGCTGCTCTACAGGTTGGAAATGCAATATATATAAATCTAGTGTGATGGTTGAGCTCATAAATCTTCTTGATGTTTGCTTGTCTTTATGTAGGAGGCATATTCGACCCCAATCGTGCCTCTTGACTTGCTAGCGGAGAGGCCCCCTGAGAGAAAGTTTGACTTGGTATGTGTGGTGCTTGTTCTAGCTGCATATATCAATTCTCATGGACACATTGCTTTTCTAATTTTTCTAAAAACAATGTTTTTTAGATGAGAGACCTTAGCTCCGATACCATGATACAAGTTTATAAAAATTGGTGTTATTGAATAATGAGCATTACATCAGTATATATAGAGAATACATGGAGAATCCTAACCAAAGTAGAATGAGAAATTATGGTAACAATAGGATAATGAATGTAAATAATAGTAATAGTATTTTATTTCTTATTGTCTCTATTATTCCTAGTATTATCCTTTTTTATCATAATTTTATTTTATTTAATTTTTTGCATGGAATTGCCAATGCTGATACTTGATCACTTATCAGGCCAAGGTATGGTTTTTATTATTTCTTTATCATTGTTATATTTACTATCCTTAGCACCACTTTTAGTCTCATGATGACATGATGTGTTATGTTTGGTGTGCGTGTGCATGGGGAAATTATGGTATTAATGGGATATGCAATAAAGTCCAAAGTAGAGAGAATGAAAGTATTTTTTGGGTCAATAGAGAGAGGGGTCATGTATTTCCATCCTATTTGGCTTATTAAATACTATACATGTCCCAAAATGAACTTTACACTTTCCTTTTCCGTCAGTCCCAAAATATACTTCACATTTTCCTTATTTTCTTTGCAATGAAAGGAAAATGTTGCTCACATCATATCTCTTTCTTCCGAACGAATTTTAACCATGCACTTTTATAAAGCGCCCTGAAGTCAAAACATGAAATTTATTTTGGAATGGAGAGAGTATGTTTTTTAGCCTTATGTGGTATCAGTTTTAAATTTATATCTGTAATTAGAGCTATAAGGTAGATTAATTACTCCAAGATTTTTTCAAGATTGCACAATTCCTTCAACCTACATTTGGAATCTACGATCAACTTAAACAATATTTTTTTGCCTTATTAGTTTAGCTCTAATCATTGGAGATGCGTGTACCAATAGAAGCATTCAATGTATTTCAATCTAAAAAGCATGAAAATAGGAAACACTGAAACATCATTTTTTTTTAAATGTAAGTCGCAGCAGAGCAAGGAAACTTGCTAACACACTAGTTCCATGATTATAAGTACTTCGAATTAAGTAATGTAGTAAAAAGATTGAAAGTTTCAACATCTCTTTATCTTGAAGGATTTCATCATACATGCTTTCTTTGACATTTTCATCAAAGAATACGAATACAATTAATTGTGTCCTTGTTATGGGAAAATGAAATCAGCAGTGCCGAATTGTTTTTTTGGTAACAACGTTGAAATGTTTGTGTGAGTTTCTCCAGCGGGATTTGTGTTCAAATTGCAAAGTACTGTCCGTTAAGTGTCTATGTGTTGAAATAATGGACTTGGGCCCAATTCAACCCCAAAAGTTAACTCAAGAGGTTGAGGTACCCAAGCTATTAAATAACAGCACAATATAAGGCTGCATAGCCGATGTGGGATGAACAAGTCAACACGCCCCCCTCACACGAGGCGCAGATTACTGCGGGCGCGGTCCCAACGTCAATGGCTTTGCTCTGATACCATGTTGAAATAATGGACTTGGGCCCAATTCAACCCCAAAAGTTAACTCAAGAGGTTGAGGTACCCAAGCTATTAAATAACAGCACAATATAAGGCTGCATAGCCGATGTGGGATGAACAAGTCAACATCATCTTTGATATACCACGACACACACACTGAGTAATGTTGTTTGCAGTATGTAATGCATTTTTTTGGGTGTGTGCAGAGGCTTTTGGCAAAATATGGTCAGTTGGCTTCAGTGATAACCATTGTGGCTCTGTTTGTGTACCTGGTTTCAACCCCGTCAAGATCTGGTGCTGCGGCAAAGAAGAAGCGCTAAGCAGTGTATTGGGGTTGACCTGGGGTGGAGTCAACGCACTCGGGAGTTGGGTACATCCGGAATGAATCTAATGCACCGATTTGCGTCTCCTTCTAGTTAGATAGAGAGGTTGTAATTCACCAGTTAAAAGTTTACTTCTCAATTTGTAGAACAATCAAAGCATTTTGGGCATCAGACTTTTCTCTGTTCCGTACTCCTTCAATGTTTTGTATTTCTCATCTTATTTAACATCTGTGTGACTATTGCCTCAAATAGACAAATAGACATCTGTGTAATTTATAAGCATCCCAGACATTGATGTCCATTGAGCCAGAAGATTGGTTTTGAATAGGTCGAGTGTTGTAGACTTGTACCAAGTGTTATTTTGCTAGCTAAAACTTGGAAAACATGTTGGTGTCTGGTGCAATGTTGATGTGGAAAAGCCCAATATGATGGTTTTGAGTGTACAAAAGCTCAATTAATTACGGTGTGTTAAACAATTTTACGAACGGGGCATTGGAGCACTCTCGGTCATCCCATGACACGGGGTTCCCATGTCATGGGAACCCCACCGGGAAAAGGGGATGGTTCCCATGCGGTATTGTCATGGGATGACCCGTTTGTAAAATTGACGGTTCCTACCCAAGATAAACCCCCACCCCGCCTCGAATTGAGCACACTCCCTCACCCCCTTCAATTGCACCTTATAAGTTAATGAACCCCACTGTAAAGGAAAATGCTACTTTAATTCCAAACAATTTAGAGATGATTGGTAAAAATTATGACACTATTTCAATACACACATTTTTGGAACTTCCATTGTTTGAAATGTGCTTGGATAACATCCTATATATATATGTAAAAGAGGGTTTCAAAGTTGTGGTGACGACACGTGTCATGCCACACGTGCATACTAATGACACGTGTCCCGCCACGCGTATATCACATGACACATGTACGTCCATCCATGCATGTGAGTTAATTTTGTATTAAATAATTCGTATTTTTATTTTTTATAAACTCTTCACTTTCCAACAATAAAAAACTATTATTTTTATTAACTTTTTATAAACTCTTCACTTTCTGATTATGTTAAAACCAATTTATTGTTTTGACGTATCTTAAAAATATATGCACGATTATTTTATAATTTTAGAAAACTTATGTATATAATTTAATGATTAAAAAGATGTTGCTTATAATTTTTAAAATTATCCATCATATCAAAAAAAACTAATTACATATAAATTTTATCACACGTGCATCTTTATTAAATTCATAACATATTTTAGTTGTTTTTCTTGATACATTACTTATTTTACTATATTTTTTTCAGCAAACTAAACAAAGTAAAAATTTAATTGAAGGATTACATGTGGCACATACAAATATGCATTATCTAATGATGTGACATTCCTTAATTGATCCATTCGAGATTTTTATATTAATTTTTATTAATTAAAATAATTTTCATTATTATTTTATTTGATGACCATTAATTTTGCACAAAATGTTTATGTCATGGAGGCACTACACCTCCCCACATGTCATGTGGCACATGTATATATTTATTATTATTAAATTTTTATAAAAACTTCACTTTCTTACATTAAATAACTTATATTNATTGTTATCAAATTTTCAAAATAGTATTTTAATTTTTTTTATCAAATATAAATAATTATTAAATACAAATTTATTTCAAACTTTTTATCCTATTACATACTACAAATAAAAGAATCCACCATTTATTTATATTCTTATTTCTAACAAATAACTATATTTTATTAACTCTATATTTATTAACTATATATTTTACTTCAAAATGTTTTTTTTGGCAACATTATTAAATTTTTTATATAATATTTCAAAACATTAAATTCAATAAACTAGATTTGTTTTTGTTCTAGGATAACATGTGGCATATAGGTCATATACCACATACGAATCTTTCAATGATTTATCATTACTTAATTAGTTTATTTTGCATTTTTATTTTATTTTTTTAATAATTATATCAAATTTCAATATTATTTCATTTGATAAAAATTTGATAATTTTGGTCAAGTCGCTCTATATATACTTTGACCATAAAGTGTACAAAAAATATATTATATTTAATTATAATGTAAATTTTGAAAAAATGTATCTATTTAAAATATTATTTTCATATATCAAGTTTTTATGACATTTAATTATTTAAAATTGTATTTAAAGTATTACATAGTTTTACCAAAAAATCCTAAAAGGGAGTATATAGATTAAAAATCTTAATATATTTTATTTGATTATTGTATTTATTTGGAGTTTATATGTTATACCATTTAAAAATATGTAACATACATAATTAGTTATATATCTAAAAAAGGTATAAAATTTATTAATCTTTTAAAAAAGAAATCCTGACGTTATTTTCAATAAGGTATTTATCATTTTATCTTTTATTACTTCATTAAGGTAAAAATCACGGCTAGCCAAATTTATGCTGTTTCACACACACACACACACATATACACACACACGCACACACACACACACACATATATATGTATATATTTGTGTGTGTGTGTGTAGGTATATATGTATGTAAAAGATAGTTTAGGGGTTGTAGTGTTGACACATGTCATACGTGACAAGGCAGTAAATGCCAACGCGTACAGACCTCAAACATTAAACGCCAACGTGTAGGCCAATGTGTGCAGACACTAAGCATTGATGTTCGTCTTTCGCAATTCTTGCTTCAATAGTAACATGTACAGATGCCCAGCCGTCATATATCCCTAACGAACATCAAAACACCAAAATGAACATCAACCGGTACAATGCCAAAATGAACATTTAAAATCATTACAAAAAATGAATCTCTTCAACCACCAACATCAAATTAAAAAACCCCAAAATAGAATAATATCACTCTTCACATTTCACAAAACAAAAAGATACAATGTAGCCTTTCAAAATTCTACAAAACCAAAACATACACAACCCTTTAACACATGCCCAAGCGTAGCACGAAAGAAAATTAAATCATAAACCAAACTCTCCATTTTCAACCATCGCATCAATAACATTATGACAACGAGCCCTAATAACAAGCCCGTGCGTAGCACGGGTTAGAAAACTAGTTCTAAATGTATTCTTACAATTTTTTTGGTAAGAGTAATTTCTCCCATGTATATTTTGGATCCTTGTCTAAAAGTTTATGTACTTGAATAAAAAGATCAGTAATTCTATAAATGAGAAATAAATAAGTTGATTTTTGGGGGGAACTTGAAGAGGTTGTCATAAACTCATAGAGTAATGCTAGGGATACGCCAAAAGGTGTACCCTAGCATTTTTCAAACTCATAACCTTGTGCTGTAGTCGGTGTAGCACGATCAATACAGAGAAAGAAAAAAAAAAGAAAGAAAGAGGTGACGAGGGAGAGGAGGAAGGGGACAAATTTATAATTAAAAAAAAAAAGATGAGCTACGAAAAAGTGCCCCAAGAGCCGTATCCACCCCCGGGTAACTTCTTCAATCAACCTCATCTTCTCCGATCATCTCTCGATTAATCTCCCCTTTTGTTTTTATTGTGTGTTGATTTTGATCGATTGTTATAGGATACGGATCTCTATATCCTCCGCCTTCCGCTCCACCGCCGCCGCCGTCCTCCTACGAGGGCTACCCGCCTCCACCACACCCACCCTACCCGCCGGCTCCAGGATATCCTTATCCTCCTCCGCCCCCGCGTCCGGGGGGGTATCAAGGATACTTCTGCCACCATCCGCCACCGCCCTCGCCCCCGCCGCAGGTCTACCACTGTGATCACCACCATTGCGATGATGACTCTGCCGGTTGCATCTCTTTCTTGCGTGGATGGTATCGTCCTCTTTCTCCCTCACTGCTTCTCAATTCACTACTAATTCACGCGCTGCTGCGAATTCTTCTCTAGGGTTTTTTTTTGCTCGATTGTTTAAAATTATGATAAAGGATTCTTTTCCAAATCTCCTTTAACATGAACTTTGACTCAGGATTGGATAATTTTGTGTTCTACGATAGAATTGATTCATTATATCCTCTTTGGAAATCAATGGATAGTGTAGTAGTATCTACTTCTATATCAGGCTTGACTGTATTTTATTTGTTTATAATTCATTGATAGATTGCTTTCCACTTACGATTTTGTTTTAATGATGCTTTGTTTGTTGTGCTGATCTTCGGCATTCGCCTGCAGTTTTGCTGCTCTGTGTTGCTGCTGCATATTGGAGGAGTGCTGTTTATGATTCTATCCATCAATACTACATGTACTTCCTTTGACATCATTTATGGGCTTTGATGGAGTTGTGAATTCGTGAACTTATATATTTCTGGGAAGAATCTCTACTTGCCATATTTTCATGTGTGAGATCTGTTAGCATCATACCAACTGTGAACTATATATCTTTACCATTACCAGACGTGCCATACATTTTTTCTGTTTCTGTATGCTTTGATGGGTGAATAAAATCTATCATCGGTCTATATCACTTGACTTGCCGAAGTACTTTCCTTTTTTTTTTTGTTTATTGTGTGCTCTGTGACATATGGAGTATTTGTCCACTGTCTTACTGAAAATGCCTGAGATTTAATGGTTTCGATCATACGAGCAGCAGCTTCTTCTTTTTCTTTTTGTTTATCAAAAAGAGAGACTCAATCTGCAACTTGTACGTCTTCTAGACAAGCAACAAGTGCTACTACTCATCTCGTTGATAAGAGATGGTTGAGATCAAGCAAGGGAAATGTAATGTTTACTTCTTGGATTGCTACTGTTTGGTTTCTACATAATTTATATTGAAGGACTGCAGTTAAAATGAGCATCAGGTACGTTCCTCTTCGCAACCTCAATATGGATTTGATCTTGTTCTTTTGGTGAAGCGGCAAGTGTTTGCCTCAATCGCAACCATTCAATCTTGATCACATGGTTGCGATTGACCGGAAATTGTTGACCTTAAAGAGTTTCTTTTGTTTGACCGCTATCATGGGATACATTTATACAAGTAGCAGATGCTTCTCAAACAGACAAACAATGGAACTCAACTATTAAAAGACCTGCATATATAGAGTGCACTATTACACATAGGTGGAGAAGCATCTGTCACTAACGAGTACTAGCTCAGTCCCAACCTAATTTTGATCAACAATGAAATGAAAATTACATTGTACCACCCCATCTTCAATTAAATGCAGAGTTTTTGCATCAACAAGAGGTTTCATCTCATGAAAGAGAGTAATAGCGTGATAAACAAAAGATGGGAAGAATGAGTAACTGATACTCGTGAACCTCGAAGCGGTACTATGACTTGAAGATAGTGTTGAAGATTCCTAAATAAAGCCTACTAGGATTTAGCATTCCTCAGTAGGCTAATATACGAGTCTCACCTCTGATCTGTGGCTGTGATATGCACGAGAGAATCATTTATTGTGAGACTTGAGAGTGATTACGCAGAAGATTTAGATCTTTGAGCGTGGATTGTTTAATAGTTCTAACTAAGAGCAATTGTGTTAACACAAGAGCAAAATTGCAATCTATGCATTTTCAGTGCTCCCGATGTTGAGTACATTGCTGATGTAGAAAAAAGTTGCAAGCAGGTCCTTTAAGTGGAGTGAGCTCAAATAGAACTTGAGTATGAAGTGTTACGTAGTGAGGTTTAGTTTCTTCATACTCTAGAAGAGACGTTCTATTGTGTTGACCAGTGTAATATGTTATGAAGGTTTAGTGAGGGCTATTACATAGACATGAGTCCAACAAATTAGGAGAACTTGTCTTAAATGCTTAAATAATTATGGGTGCATTGTTTATTGCTTTTGTACATGTAATAGTATGATGATGGTGTTGCTCGCAGCACCTCTGTCATTGTTTCTTCGTTTATATATTATTGCAACATCATCATAGATTCATAGTCATGTAATAAATGGTTTGTTGTGAGTTTGCTAATCAGTAATCACTTGCACAGTCGGTTTGTACCCTCAGCTGCACTGAGTCTTTGGGAATTTCAAATTGTTATAAAGGTTTTGAAAAGTTATAAAAAATTTATTTTAAATAGGTGTTCAATGTTTTTATTCACAAAATAAGAGTTCGCAATGTGATTCTGTGACACTTCATTTAGACATTTCATTATATTTTTTGGTATTATATATTGGCATAATTTGCATTTTATATGCATTTTAACTCTTATTTTGAAAATAAAAAACATGGAATTCTTATTTTAATATATATGTTTTACAAAAAACAATAATAAATAAAACATTTACTAAAATTACAGTGTATTATGTAACACTACTATTACTTTAGGGGTGTGGTAGGGGTACGCTAAGATTTTATTTCACTTTGTAAATCAAGTGTGTAACAAACACACACAGATAACAAATATGTTTGTGAGATGCATGCATAGAAATATGAAAATTGATATATGAAAATTGTAAATTTTAAACATGTGCACAGACATAAAGGAAAATTTATTGACTTTATTTTAGGCGACTTGATCACTTTGAACATCTCATTTGTAGATGCGTGGGGTAGAGTATGGGTAATTCATTTCAGTGGAATTTGAATAATGAGAAAGTTACATTTATATTTACTCGATAACTAATGTAAAGAAACAAAAAATAATCAATGCTTGAAAAAAAGTTTTGTGTAATTTTTAAAATAATTCTTTCTAATACTCCGTAATATGTTTTCTCAAAATAGTACATAATTAATAAGCAATACTGGTAAATAATGATTTACAAGATGCTTTTTAATGAAATATTATCCCTCGATAGTTTTTTGACAATTGGGGTTACGTTATCTTAAAATTGTACCCTCGGATGGGTAATTTGGGTAAACACTTGATAAAAAATACTATTTTGAAAACTTAATCTTATATTAGATGATAAAAATATATCAAAATACATGTCATTTATTTGCCATTCGATTGACAATTTTGACCTAAGACTAGTGAGGAAATAAATTTCAATTATATAAAAGACCACGTAAGTAATCAGTGATTATTGAGGATTAACTTGGAAAAATATTTTATTATAAAAAAACATTTTTGAAAATTCACTCAAACAATTTCAAATTATAGCGAAAAATAAGTAAATTAAAGTACGAATGAAATTGGAAAAATGTATCTGAAAATGATTATTCTCCCAAAATTTAAGTTGAAAAGTGATTATTCTTCAAATGCAATTTGGAACTTCATGTGTTCTCTCTACTGAAACTTAATTGGAGTTTGAATTAGGGCTGAAAAAGAAAATTAGGGCAAATGAGGCCGCGCCTTGATTAATTGGACGCAACAAGTGAATGGGCGGAAGTATTATTAATGCCACATAATGTGTCGAGTGAATCAATGTAATGTGTACTTTAGAAATATTTGCACTAAATAGCATTAAAACTTAAGTCATTTCTCTAAATAGCACTTAGATTGTTTCTTTCCTTAAATAGCACTTTATAATGTCCATAATGACCAGTGATGGCAAACATTTACTTGAATAATGACTAATGGATAATGACTAAAAGTGCTACATTAAGGAAAAAAACATATGTGGTGCTATTTAGAGAAAGTCATTATGTTTTAGTGCTATTTAGGTAAATTTCTCCTTACTTTAAGGATGGGAGGGAGGAATGAAATAATTTAAGGAAAGAGTTTGAATACTCCGTATGAATTAAAATTAGAAAACATTTATGAAATAGATTCCCAAATCCCAATTATAGATTTTTATTATTAATTACTCAGTGTGTAAGCTTAGGTAAGTACAGGGTAAAGTAAAAATGGAAAAATATTGAAGTTGCTGAATGATGATGAATCCCTCCTAGTACGACGCCGTTTCATTTCACGAGTCCTCGTACCTACCGGGTACTATATATACACTACGTTTATGTTTGAAACTAGAGTACGTGTATACATACACACACACACACACAAAGAAGAACTTAATAAGTACTGTAATTAGGTTAGCCATTCATACATTTTTAGCAGGCCGGAGAAAATCAAAACGTACAAAAGTATAACAATGGCCGCCGCCGCCGGAGTTGGAAGCAACAAGGAAGCTGCCCCAGGTCATGATGGTCGTCATCCCGGCGTCTTGTTGGCCGACGACGGTGGAAAACGAAAGCTCGACGCGGCCGTGGAAATCAACCACGGCCAGGATTTGATGATACGCAGAGCAGAAAAAGAAGAAGGTAATTAGTTAATTATTAGTAGGCCGACCAACATGATTTTTATGTAGCACTTTATATATACGGAGTATATAGTTATAACTTACTCCGTATAATGTTATATATTCACTTCGTCCCGGCATACATTTTCATGTTTGAAAAAGTTGAGATGAAAATTAAATATGATGTGATTAATCGATTACTGACGAATATGGAATATGAATGTGTTATGTGTTATGGACCGAAACCATTGCAAGGTATGTGACTTGTCCCACATCGGTTGTATGGGCAATTGATGTGGGGTTTATAAGCTAAATGGGTTCCCTCACCTAGCAAACTAGTCTTTTGGGTTGAGTTCTTCTGTTTGGTTTGCAAGAGAATGATGCCCAAATGTTACAGTACATTAATACAAGCAATTGATTAATAGGTGTTGCTATATGCACCTCATTTTTGCTATATCTACACTTTTTATATTCATTAGACAATTTTACCGCATTCAAAGTTGCTTTGTATCAAAATTTTATCTTTGCATTTTTGAAATTAAAATTGTCAATTTAACATTAATGAAGTGGATATACCTACACTCGAGGTGTATATAGCAACACCCTTAAATGATAGAGGTAAATAATACGGAGTAATTGATTTTTTAGGTTGTGTGATATGACTAGGGTTTGATGGAGTGTCACGTAAGCAGGAGAGTTTAAGTAAAATATGTGTAAGTGATTACATGAAATGATAAATTATTTTGACTACATAATATACAGATTTATGTTAAAATTTGATTAATTGAAAGAATAATAAAAATAGTGAGGGGGGCACACCTACATGAGAAGAAGCGTGGGATGGGAGGGAGGCGTGAAAGGGAAAAGAAATACTATATTTTATGGGACAAAGAGAAGATATTCATATATTTGAGAATGACTTATAAAGTGATAAATGAGAATGATGTATTCTTTGTTCATTGTGATGCATACTTGTGTTGAATGAAATGCAAAATTGGCGATGACAAAAAATTTTACTTAATTACTAAAATACCACCATGTTTTTTTCAATATTTTTCAAAATTTCAAATTTGTAATAATGCATTCTCATTTCTGTTGTGGTGTTCACATTTGATGCTATAGCAGCGTGTATATATGTGTGTATATTTAACTCATATAGTGATTAATGACACGAGACGGCGTACTATTACTAAGCAGAATTATGTTGCAAGAAGGCCAAGTTTGAGTACAAGGTAGAGGAGAAGGGCGGTGCCACATGTGTGGTTGTTGCAGTGGAAGAAAAGCTGAAAGATAAAGGAGGAGAAATGAGGAAAGACAAGCAAAAGGGAAAAGCAATAATAATGGAGGAAGAAGAAGAGGAAGAGGAGAAGATGAGGAAATACAAGTTAAAGGGAAAGGCAATAATAATGGAGGAAGGGATAGAGGATGATGAGGAGAGGATGAGGAAATACAAATTAAAGGGAAAAGCCATAATGGAAGAAGAGAGAGTGGGGGAGATGAGAAAACATGAGGGGAAGGGAAAGGCAATAGTGGAGGAAGAACAAGAGGAGGAGATGAGGAAATACAAATTAAAGGGAAAGGCCGTAATAATGGAGGAAGATAGAGAGGAGGAGATGAGAAAACATGAGGGGAAGGGACTAATGGAGGGAGAGAAAGAGGAGGAGGATCTCTCGTGGTTGGCGGCTTACTACTATGATTCAGATTGTTTTTCTATATATGATGATGATAGTGATTCTGAGTCTGAGTCTGAATCCGAGACTGATTCTGACGAGTACATGGATAGCTCTGACGACGAAAAAAATGTCATCCTTGCACTCCAAGCTTCTCTTCCTTCTCCAACAACAACTACTACTATTGATGATGATGATGATGATGATACTACTACTACTACAAAGAAAAATGACGTCGGGGATGAATAGAAAAGTTTATACTCACTTCACTTTTTAGTTCGTTCATTAAAAAATTTTCCCATTTATGTTTGTGGCAAAAAAGTTTGGGTTGTATGTCAAACTTATTTTACATTTAAATGGTTTAGCTATCAAAACATCATTTTTCATCTAAATTAGTCACTTTATTAAGCACTACTCATTTAATGATAAACAAGTTTCAAACCCGTACATTCATGGTTTAAAGACATACTCCCTCCGTCCCAGAGTATTTGTCCACTTTCATTTTTACACACCATCCAATGCACTTCTTTAATCCATTTTATCTTGTAATTTGTATATTAAAAAATTATAGAAATTATATATTAATAACCTATATGTTAAGACAAATCAAACAAGATCACACATGACTATTTATAGGCTTACACATTGAGAGAATTTGATGAGTCAAAGTGCTTAGATGAACAGTTCCAAAATTCAAAACTGAACGAATATAGCGGGACGGAGGGAGTATATAGAAGGTTGATCAATATTTTTTTCCATCTTTAATTAATATTATATTTACATACTCGATTATAAAATGAGAAGAAAACTACAAGAGCTTATTATAACAAAATCTTTTATATACACACGTAGTATACAAGGACTATGGAGCTATGAGTAAAAGCTCATAACAAAGTATTATACGTAGAATATTTTCATACAATGATGAGACATCATTATATGAGGGTTTAAATTTCAAAAATGATACTCTATGCATACAATGTTTTGGGGAGGAGGTATTTTCTTTAGGGGAATAAGAAAAGTTGAAAATAACAAGGGCAAACAATTTTTCAACCGAAGATATTAATCCCTCCGTCACAGAAAACTTTTTCAGACTTCTAGTTGGGGAAGATATAAAAATTTGATCAAGACAAAACGATGACATTTACAATTAGTTGGGCTTGAAAAATGTGAGCGTTGAAGATAGTTAAAATGTATTCGGTTAGGTTTAAGATTCCAATTACGTTTAGACGAAATTGGAATATTTTATATGACATGTAAAATGTGAAAATTGAAAAATGTTATGTAAAGAAGGTATATATGCAATTGTAAAATGAGAAAAAAATGGAAAGTTGAAAACCATTATGAAATTGGACTATCGAAGCTTCAAAAGAACGGCGTCCAAGTGGGACTACCCGACGGCCACTAAAGACTGATTCCATTTTCTTTCTCGAGAGTCAAAGAGGATACGGGCCGGGATTGGTGTAAGAATAATTCGGGTCCGCGCGCATACAGCATATATATATATATAAATAAAACTCAAATAATGGCCGTCGCGCTCTCATTCCGAGCTTCCTCTACTACACTTCGCCGCCGCCCGTTTCTTCTTACGCCCCCAAATCTACGGCGTCGTCGGAGAAAACGACGACCGCCGAATCGAATATGAATACTAGCCCCCTGAATCCGTCCTCGCCGGATAAGATGATCCCGTCGTCTCCCAGCGAGCGAACCTTTATTAGGCAAGATCGAGATGTACTCCCCGAAGTTCTACGCTGCCTGTACCGCCGGTGGTACCCTGTGCTGCGGCCTTACTCACATGGCCGTCACACCTCTCGACCTTGTCAAATGTAATATGCAGGTCCCATTCTTCACCTACATCTATTATTTTGAATTCGAATTGAGTTAGATCAATTCAATTCTCCAGTTTTAATTCATTTTTACATTACCCATTTTAAATATGAATATATTTTCGTGCTACCAAACAACATAATTGAATTTGAAGACCTCAATTTTAACTCCATAGTTTGAAGTGAAATTTGTATTAAATAGTACTAAAACATACAGAGTATGTTTTTTGACCAATTTAGTACCTAAAATTTTTATTTTGTAAATAGTACTTGGATAATATCTAGTGGCGATTGACATTTACTCTGAACGATGTCTAGTGATGTCGCACATTTATTTGAACAATGTCTATTGGACATTGAAGTGATTGAACAATGATACTAAATTGAGAAACTAAAATATATGGTATTATACTAAAAAAACTCACTATGTTTTAGTACTATATACTATATAAAATCCTCTAATTTAAATTCTGTGTACTAAATAGAGTTTAAATTTATTTTGTTCAAAAATTAGTATCAAAATAAAAAAATTAAAATCACATATTTTTAAATTATGTTTATAAAACAAACGGGGACAAATATATTTATTTTTATCAAATACTCTATTTAGTTTAGACTTTGGAGTAAATAATGAAAAACACTAATGACGTAAAGTTTACGTGAATTTAGAAATAGTGAAATATGCAAACTATTTTGGAGTATAAAAAAGACGTGATAAGAATATTTCATGCTATCAAATCATCAATAAAATCATATAAATCCTTTTAAAAAATAAAAACATACAAACAAAAAAGTATTCGAGATACCACAATATAAAAGAGAAATAATGTTTCAAAAAAAAAAAATAAAAGAGAGATAATTTTGGATAGGAAGAAAGAAATATGTTATCAGTGAATATGGTGGATATCATAATTTTATTGTAATATACTGCTCTTGTTACGATGGATATATTGTCCATGTCTCTCTTCTCTATGTTCTTGTCTGATCCCATTCTTAGTTGATCTCCAATAATCAGAAGTTGTCTAGACACAATGCGCAGCCTTTTGTGATCTTGAGGTTTTGTCAGATGGACTGCTAAGTTTTCACTTGATGACTTATGTTAACCCATTGTTTTTTTTTTTTTAAATTATACAGATTGACCCTACAAAGTACAAAAGCATCTCATCTGGTTTTGGAGTGTTGCTCAAGGAGCAAGGGGCCAAGGGCTTCTTCAGAGGGTGGGTTCCTACCCTTATTGGGTACAGTGCTCAGGGTGCCTGCAAGTATGGATTCTATGAGTTTTTCAAGAAGTACTACTCTGATATCGCCGGACCTGACTATGCATCAAAATACAAGACTTTGATATACCTTGCTGGATCTGCCTCGTCAGAAGTGATTGCTGATGTCGCACTTTGCCCGTTGGAAGCCATTAAGGTTCGTGTACAGACTCAACCAGGTTTTGCAAGGGGATTGTCTGATGGGTTTCCAAAGTTTGTCAGTTCTGAAGGAGCTATTGGGTATGCTTACGAAATCAAATTTATCGGTTATCGTTGAGTTTGATAGACTGTGTGTCTTACCCCCATTCAATCTTTGTAGGTTGTACAAGGGTTTAGTTCCTCTTTGGGGGCGTCAAATTCCATGTAAGGGGATGATACTTCCATTGGTGATATTATTTCTAGTTTTTCCTAAGTTTACTTGTATTGCTTGTGCTTGTGTTTACTTGTATTGCTTGTGTTTGTTTATGCGCTGCTTATCATCGTTCATTTATATAATTGCATTTTGATTCTAGTATTCAATAAATAGGTGTTCTAGACATCATGACGGGTTTTGTGTCATTGGCATTTACAAAACGATACAGTCATTTTGGTGGATTATGCTTGTTTTGGACATTCAGATGTATTTTGTTTGTAGTTGCCAGTGCCAATGAGGCCTTTCTTTTACATAATAGCTACTTAAAAGAGGTGTGTATTACTGCAGATACCATGATGAAGTTTGCATCCTTTGAGGCTATTGTTGAGTTGCTCTACAAGCATGCAATCCCCACACCCAAAAACGAGTGTAGCAAACTTTCTCAACTTGGAGTGAGCTTCGCTGGTGGGTACGTCGCAGGTGTTCTGTGCGCAATGGTCTCTCATCCTGCTGACAATCTAGTCTCCTTCCTCAACAATGCTAAGGGCGCCACTGTCGGTGATGTGAGTCTTTCTCTTTGAACCACACTTACACTATGTTTGGTTCAAGGAATTTGGAAGTAAAAGAAAAGAAAATAGTTTTCTCTCATTTTCCTCACCAAAATGGAAGGAATTTGATTTTCCATCCACTTGGTACATTTTGCCTTTTCATTTTCTTTTCCTTCCATTTTTCCTTTCTTTTTCCCTCCAACCAAACAAGAAAAATTGTTTTCTACTTCATTTTCTTTTCTTTTCTCTTTCAAATTCCTTGAACCAAACATAGTGTTAGTATTCTCTCGCTGCAAAAATTGTCCTATAATATATATCCCATTGCAGGCTGTGAAGAAGATGGGAGTTGTGGGCCTCTTTACCCGTGGGCTTCCACTCCGTATCGTCATGATCGGCACACTCACCAGTGCTCAGTGGGGAATTTATGATGCCTTCAAAGTTTTTGTAGGACTGTAAGTGTGTTTTGTTTTATTCATCTCATGTTTGGCATTTCAGTCTAGCCTGTTCCTCTCCCCCATTTGGTATTATTATGTACATTTCCACTGTTTGTTTTTATCTTTGCTTGAAGCTGATGATGTTCTTGATGATTGATCTGTGTCTTAGGCCAACAACCGGTGGAGGTGCTCCAACAGCTCCTGTGGATGCCAACTAGCAATATGAACTCATCAATTGATCCTTGAATATGTTGTACACCAGAGAAGTTATACAAGCCTATTTCCTAAGGCTATTTACAGAGGAAGTTAATTAGCTGATATATACGTCTAGATAGAGTATATAACTTTGTGTGTGAGTGTGTAGATAAAGTATACAACTTTAATGATATATAACAATAATAATACTCCATATTAAGGTGTTTTCCTTTACATGGTGATAAGTGGCTGATCCTGATATTAATGTGAAGAGGGGATAATAGCTTCTTTGAAATGTACACATACTTCTTGGATACTTTGGTTTTGGAACACATTTGATAAGAGATGAGTAACTTGATACATACTTTCAAAAGAACAAACAAAATATAGAGAATTTTGAATCATTGAATTGGGATGGCTGTGTAGCTTGAACCTGATATTAACTAGGTTGGCTAAAGATTAAAAAAATTCTAATTCTAACAAAAAAATGTAAACTCGACAAAATCAAACTATGGTAACTATTGAGTAATATTAAGAATTGATTATAGTGGTTTGTTTAAACAGTCACGTGTGTTGGACCCGCTAGGCATTCGGGATAACTTAATCAAATCCGCACAATCGGTCTTTTAATTAGGAACAATCATGTTTATGCTCGAATGATCAAAATGTTGGCAGGGCCTTTGTAGTTCATACTCAATAGGTAGCTATCTTTTGGTTGTACATTTGACGCTTTGAGCTCGACCTGTAACATGGCCTTATCTAAACTGAGAGCCATGTTACTAAATTTAACATTATGTAATCATGTCTAATCATCGCTTCTAAACTTATTAACACACAATAATATGTGAACATATGAAAGAATGAATTTATCAGTTGTTAAGAAAAACAAGATAAAAAACAAAAAAAATAAAAAAAAAAAAAATTAAACCCATATGAATCTAAGGAGGTGTCGATGTGAGATCTGGAAAGTGCATGGCAAATTGGTTAACACATTCTCCACTCTTTTTTTTTTTTCCTTTGACAACCCTTGGCTGACTCGCTCAATAGGCTGATTCCCTTGCAAGACTCAAGACAAGAGGATGCGGTATTAGCGTAATAATAATTCGTGTCCGTATATAAAACGCGAAGGCCCATTGGCTCCAAGAAGCAGAATAAAAAACCACAGAGCGGAGGTCCGTTCCTGAACGTCGCCCATTTCCTGCTTCGTCTCCGTTCATCTCATCTTCGCCTCTTTGATTTTTCAGCCATGGAAAACTCCTCCCGCCGCCACGCTCTCATTCCGAGCTTCCTCTACACTTCTCCCGTTTCTTCCTTCGCCCCCAAATCTATGGCGTCGGAGAAAATCACCGCGGAATCCAATATTAGCCCCCTTCATCCCTCCTCGCCGGATAAGAGCTTCCTGATTCCGTCTCCCAACGAGCCTCTAGGCAAGATCGAGATGTACTCCCCGAAGTTCTACGCTGCCTGTACCGTTGGTGGTATTCTGAGCTGCGGTCTCACTCACATGGCCGTCACGCCTCTCGACCTTGTCAAATGTAATATGCAGGTGCGATTCTTCAGATCTATTTGCTTCGCCTCTCGACTCTCATTTATTTGCTTGCGATATTTCCCTCGTTCGTTCTATCAGGTAGTCGTGTGTATCTATTAGATCAGATCTGTTATCAGTGAGTGTTCCATTATTCTAAATGCTGATCTATGGCGGATTATCATTTTTTATTGTAAAGTACTGCTCTTATTACGATGGATCTATCGTCCATGTCTCTCATTTCTATGTTCCTGTCCGATTCTATTTTTATTTGTTCATGCATACATCTCGTGGCTGCTCTGAGGGTGATAGTGAGATTGCTGATATCCTATTTCCTTGTAGTTTCCGTCTGTTCAAGTCTAGGTTTAACAATTCCACATTTCTTCATGGTGCTTAGTGTGATTGAAATATTTATAAAACAGTGCTAGGAGACCTAGGACATTGCTGATGGGCTTGAAATACTTGAAGTTTGAGCAATTATTGATTACAAGTATTAGTGCTTATACTCTGGTTTTTGTATTATCATTCTGAATTGAATTCCAAGTCATGACATTTCTGATAAGCAGACTTGTATCATACTCCCGAAAAACCTCTGTAGATATTCCACTGTCCCATTCAGATTCCTCTCGTCTTGTTTTATTTGTTTGGTATACCCTTAAGCATTGTGATTGTATGGAATACCATATTGAGTGCCCTCTTAAAATCCTGGTGATAATTTCACTTAGTTGATCTCTAATGATTAGAAGTTGTCTAGACACAATGCTCAGGCTTTTGTTTTTTAGGTTCTTAATTATGTCAGTGGACAGCTAAGTTTTTCCCCTGTGTTATGTTAACCGACTGGGATTTTTTTAATTATTCAGATTGACCCTGCAAAGTACAAAAGCATCTCATCTGGTTTTGGAGTGTTGCTCAAGGAGCAAGGGGTCAAGGGCTTCTTCAGAGGATGGGTTCCTACCCTTCTTGGGTACAGTGCTCAGGGTGCCTGCAAGTTTGGATTCTATGAGTTTTTCAAGAAGTACTACTCTGATATTGCCGGACCAGAATATGCATCAAAATACAAGACTTTGATATACCTTGCTGGGTCTGCCTCTGCAGAAGTGATTGCTGATGTTGCACTTTGCCCATTGGAAGCTGTTAAGGTTCGTGTACAGACTCAGCCAGGGTTTGCTAGGGGGTTGTCTGATGGGTTTCCAAAGTTTGTCCGATCTGAAGGAGCTCTTGGGTATGCTTATGAAACCATGCTCCTATTTTTAGTTTATCGTTGAGTTTGATAGACTGCGTGTCTTACACAATCCAATCTCTGTAGGTTGTACAAGGGTTTAGTTCCTCTTTGGGGGCGTCAAATTCCATGTAAGTGCAAGATACTTCCATTGGTGATATTATTTCTGGTGTTTCCCAATTTTATGTGTATTGCTTGTGTGTGTGTGTGTGTGCGTGTTCTGTTTTTGTGCTGCTTATCATCGTTCATTGGTGTAATTGCTGTCAGTGACACAAGTATGAGATGTTTTTGTTTTGAGAGTTATTCATTTGAATAACAATGTATGATTAGCAGTCAGTGACACAAGTATAAATTGTTTTCATTTTGAGAGTTATGCATTAGGATCACAATTAATGACTAGTTGCCTATGTGCCTCACTGCTTACTCAATAGGCCTTTCTTTTTTCGTTCTTTGTGAGCTTACTCTATTGTATGGATTTGGGAATACTGTGCAACACAGTTGTTCCAGAGCCTAAAAATCATATTCTTATATGCATTTGCTTTGACCAAGAAGAATTCAGCCGTTTAAGTAAAGTTATACAGAGTACTTGTTATCATATAAAAAAATGACATGTTTCTCAGTGCTGAATGGATTCGTTGCTATTTACATAATAGTTAATAGAGATGTGTATTACTGCAGATACCATGATGAAGTTTGCCTCCTTTGAGACTATTGTTGAGTTGCTCTACAAGCATGCAATCCCCACACCCAAAAACGAGTGTAGCAAACCTTTTCAACTTGGAGTGAGCTTCGCTGGTGGATACATTGCAGGTGTTCTGTGCGCAATAGTCTCTCATCCTGCTGACAATCTAGTCTCCTTCCTCAACAATGCAAAGGGTGCCACAGTTGGTGATGTGAGTCTTTTTTTTATTTGAACCATAGTAGTCACTTCCACTGTAACAATTGTAGTACCCAGCAGCAGCAGCAGTTGTAGTAGTAGTAGTTTTTAATATATATCCCATTGCAGGCTGTGAAGAAGATGGGAGTTGTGGGCCTCTTTACCCGTGGGCTTCCACTCCGTATTGTCATGATCGGCACACTCACCGGTGCTCAATGGGGAATTTATGATGCCTTCAAAGTATTTGTTGGACTGTAAGTGTGTTTTATTTTATTCATCTGTATGGCATTTCAATCTGTTCCTCTCCCCCATTAGGCCGGTATTATATATTCCACTATATGTTTTATCTTTGCTTGAAGCTGATGTATTTGATCTTTGACTTGTGTCTTAGGCCAACAACAGGTGGTGGTGCTCCACCAGCTCCTGCGGATGCAAAGGTTCCTGTTGCTTAAGCTGGTCAGAAGAAAATCTGGGCGGTATGAATCAATAAAGATGGGACTTGCTGCTGCTTCTGATGGTTTGTTTCTATGTGTTAGAGTTATAATGATGATAATTCTTTTGATGATCACGACTACATTGGTGAGCAGTCCGAACATGTTTTTGTTTTGTTTTGTTTTGCTTTGTTCATTGATCTCCTCCTAAACTTGCAAGAGTTTTAAATTTTGGGAGGATGATTAGGATACTTATACTATTAGGATCCCGTTTTGCTCACAAAGATTGGAAGGATGGAATAACCTCCTTCAACTCTTTTTTTTCCTTCTCCAGGTGATGAAATTAGTCATCCCTTCTCCTGCCATCTTTATCTCTTTTTAAGCTGCGTTTTATAATTCCATTTAAAAGAGAATTAGAGTGGAATACGAAAATAATATTTAAATGTTTAAATGCAAGTAAATGCAAACACTTACTCTTTATCAAAAGTTTGAAAGTCAACTCATGCAACGTGCTTACAGAATGGATGTAGTATTTTAATCGCAACGATTTAATTTTCCCGTTGCCGAAAAAATAGTAGTCTAAAAAAATGTGTTTTTAAAGTTGTGAGAAGGGCAAATGGAAATCTAATTTAGGAATTAAAGGAGTGATTCTACTTTCTTTTTTCAATTAAAAAACTTGTTAAGCTTAACTTTTTTGAATTTCAATTTAATAAAACTTGTTAAACCTTACTTTTTTGAAATGGAATGAGCAATATATTATCTCTTTGTTGCGTTATTATAATCTCATAATTTTGCTTACTTTTTTTTTACCAAAATAATAAAATATTAGTGAGAAAAATATTGCAAGTTGCTCACTCAGTTTTTCTAAAAAGAAATGGAAAAAAGACACGTACTCCGTAAAATTTATTTTTAAATGAACAAAAAAAGATGTTTCTGAGATGGAAAGGGCATAGCTTTAACCGAAGTCATTGTCAATTTTGAAGAAACCTATTTTTGTAACAACACAAAAATGGAAGATATTGAGCTGTAATTTATAATTTGGAGGGAGAAGAGCACATGGGCAGGGCAATACATAGCCGTTTTGCCAGCCCGCAGCTACAGTATACTAAGGTCCTACCACTTCACTCATTCCTCTCCTCACATTACACAAAGTCACAAACTACTATGTAGAATTTACGCTTCAATTTCACTGAATCTCAAAATAAAATGTCAAAATTAGAAAAAAAATGAACTTATTGAAGAACTTATTGTGCCTTTTTTTCTTTGAATTAGTTTTCAACATTCCATATATAATACTCCGTAATAAATAACAATAATAAATAACTATGATGAAACAATAGTATCCAAGACTCATTTCGAGAGGGATTTATTTGATATTTTAAAATCATTTTTCAAAAATGAATTTTTTCAGAAAGTGAAAGTCAATTAAAATTGGACGAAGAGAATATGAGTTATTGTAATTTGAATCTTGCTACAGACATCACAAGGTGACCCCAACTTTTCCCACATTCTTCTCCCGTGGGTGAGAAAGAAAGAGAGAACGTGGCAAAGTTGTGTTGTTTGGTTTATATGTCGCTCACGTCAAGCGCTACCAACTTTTCTAAAACTAATTAGTATTAGAAAAAGCGCATATCCTAGTAAGCCCTCATGACACACAAACGCATTCATCACACACAAGCGTTCATGACATTCAAATATGACTTGGCCCACATAACTTCTGTCACGGGACAATTGATCCACTCATAGCTAACAATTTAGAGTTCTCTCATATACTACATACATATTTCTACCCAGTTTCTAAAAGAGCCTTGTGATCCATAGCTATTGAATAATTATATTATACTCTCTCCGTCCCACAAAAAAGTTCCCATTTTGAATAGTATTTAGTCAAATATTTACACGTTTTGACTACAAATTGTGAGAAATGTATATTGAATTATGAAATAAATTTTATATAATTGGATTCATCTTAGGATCTAGTTTTGATATCTCAAATTTTTTTAGCATTTCTTTATTTAGATTATATTTAATTTAAGGTCAAAGTGTGCAACAGTTTGACCAATTTATGGTCAAAATGGGAACTTTTTTGTGGGACGGAGGGAGTATTACTTAAGAAATAATAGAATACATGACATACTATATACAAGGAGGGGATTATAACCCCAACAATAGAAGTGGAAATCGTGTATCCCACATCACAATAGACAAATAAAATACTCTATACTATTGATACCCTTTCTTCTCCTAAGTTGGATATCGTGTTTTTGTTATAATATACTCGTATTATTTACTCCGTATAAGGTATAATGGTTAAAGAGAATGCTTTGTGATCTAGTCTTGGCCGGCCGGCATTCATCACACAACGTAACTTCCATGCATGTGTTCAACAAGCAAAATGATCGAGTTAGTTGCTACAAAACATGCATAATAGTGCACGTAAAGAACACAAATATATATAAGAAGCAAAATGATCGACTCCCTCCGTTCCCAAATATTCTTCTATCTCATTATGCGTGTCACGAGCCTTGACTAATTTTATTTTCACTTCATTAAAATTTCGATCTACAAAATAAGAAGAGACACAAATATATTATACGGAGTATTATCAAACGAGTTGTAAAAATAATAAACCAAGGTGTGAATAGTGCACGTAAAGAACATTATTTTTCCGATGAAGAGAATACTAGTCATGTTCCTACCATCCTTTTATGCTCAAAGCTCTTGGCAAGTCATTGTTGGAATTTCTCTTTAATTTCCCAAATTAAAATTTTTTTACATGGTCTTAAAGTTCATACTTATTTTATGAAACTTAGTGCAATGATACCATAAAATGATTGAGCCTTTTCATAAAAGAAAAGCTTATGTTTGTCAGTCTATAAAAAGTGTGAGAAAGAACGTACTCTTCCCAAATAGACATTTTGTCGCTACGTGTTCTAATTATTTGAAAGAAGTTGGATGAGAAAGAGAAGATGGAAGAGACGAGATTTGCGAATAGAGAAGAAGAGGCGGGAGTGAATGCTCCTAAGAAAAAAGGTAGTGTTTAAATGATGATGATGATGACGGTGAAGAACTACTACTACTACTACTACTACTACTACTGAAGAATGGAGATCGAGGAGTCGTGGAAAGAAAGGTAAATTTACATCCGAACACAGCTCTAAAAATGGGTTTGGGCATTTAAATTTTTAAGTCTTCGTCTCTACAAATTGGGTCATTCGTACATAAATCGGGTTATCCATCTTGGGCATAGATTTGAATGTTCGGGTAACTCGATTTGTAGAATCGAAGATTGAAAAACTTAAATATCAAGCTTAATTATACCTAGAAGAGAAAGTAAAAAATAAGATTTATATATGGAAGTACAACTAAAGTCAAACATGGAATACAATAACATGTCTCCCGTGGTTAATATCGTTTCTACCCCCCAAGTAAAAAAACAAAGGGTAGGGTCTTCCTTACTTCCTTCCTTCGTTCCCACACGCGCATAAGAAATAAGAAGAAGAAGACCAGCCGACCAATGGCATTCCATATGCATACAGACACAAACACACACACACAAACAAAGATACATGTGTTTGTGTGGAAGACCGACCAATAATGGACTCCTTATTTCCAGTCACTGTTTTTTTTTCTTCTTTAATTAAATCTCAAAAGCAAAAGAGGAATCAATTTTAAGCGTTTGGCTGGGAAGCGATTTTGGGTTTTTCTTCTTTTTTTTCTTTTTTTTTGAGACGCCAAAACCCAAGTGATTCACAACTAAGCAGTAGACAACAGCCAGCCTAGCGTCAGTAGGGCCTTCACTGCCCCCTTTCTCATTTTTTTTTTCTTTCTTTTCCTTTGCTTCTTCTTCTTCTTCTTCTTTCTTTCTTCAAGAATTCAATGTAGTGGTGACTCAACTCTACTCTACTATCTACCAAATCAAGTTTGGGATCTCTGCAATTTCAATTCTTTCAGGTCTCTTTTTTAAATTTGGCCGCCCCTCTCTTTCTTTCTATAGATCATCATTTTTTCCCTTTTGATCTTCAATTTCTTTTTGTTTCTGCATTTTTTATTTTATTTTTAATACTTAGTATAAGTTTTGTATTGTTTTTTAATTAATTGAAAAAAATGTGTACATTTGTTTTTCATTGATTGATTCTTGCTTTATGAGCTGGACATTATACTTGAACATTGCAGAAAAGTTCAAAAGAATCTCATTTTGATGTGTGATTGATCATTGGTTCTCAAAAATGCCCCTACCTGCTTCAAGTTGCAATCTTTGTTTCATTATTGTTTGTGCACACATTCCCTTTTTATAAATATGTCAATATATACACTCCCTTCCTCCTTGTTCCAGGATCAATGCTTCATAGTGCATATATATACACATCTCAAGAATTGCCAAGTCTGTTCCACAAGTGGCTAAATGTCAAACACTCTTGCAGCAATCATTGGAGGTGCTGCAGGGCTATTGGGCATTTTACTTGTTCTTCTTATCATATGGCTATGGTTTTGTCTTCACCGGAGCTTCTCAAGAACTTCCGAAGCCGGATCTTCTGATCCATCTGGCCAAGATGATGGTGGTACTAGTATACGTTACGTGTATATATATGCGCCATATATTCTGTCTTATATCTATGCTTGCTGCTGCTAAATAGAACTCACATTTGCCAGTTGGAAGAACAGTTGCTGCAGCAGAGCTAACCTCACGTAGTGCGAGATGCTTCCATCTGGAAGAGCTTTCGTCCGCAACAAAAGATTTTAGTGATAAGAATTTGATTGGGGAGGGGAAATTCGGAGAGGTGTACAAAGGCTTGCTTCGCAATGGAACGCTTGTAGCCATTAAAAGACGGCCCGGTGTCCCTAGTCAAGAATTCATTGATGAGGTAGTTTAACTTCTACATTTCTTTATTGCTGTCATGTTATTATGATCAGGTCAATGGTTGAATCCAATCTTTCAACTAATCTTATTCAATGCCTTATATACAGACCTATTTGTGTATCTGTAATAGTTCAATGTCAGATTCTTGAGAAAAGAGATGAGGGGTAGTGCTTTTTTTTCTTCTTCTTTCAGGTCCGGTATTTATCGTCCATTCAACATCGCAATCTAGTCACGCTATTGGGTTACTGTCAGGAAAACAAGCAACAGATGCTCGTGTACGATTACGTTCCTAATGGGAGTGTATCCCTCCACCTGTATGGTAATCATCATGCATTTGTTGCAGCCAAGCACTGAGTATTAAATTCCTCCCAGATTTTTCAAGACAGAATGTGAACAGCTGCTGTGTTTTTCGTTTGGGTTCTGCAGGTTCTGCTAATGTTGCAAAGGAGAGGCTTGAATTCAAGCATAGGCTTTCAATAGCTATCGGGGCAGCTAAAGGTGATCATCTGCGAAATCAGTGAGCATTTTTGGCTTTCCTGGTACCGGTTTATCTTTTCTTTAGATCACCTTTAAAGAAATATCTCCTCCTCCTCCTCCTCCTCCATGTGCTCTTAAGTTATTACAGAGTTGACGAAATATATGTTAAAGCATCTCACATTGAAAAATTAGATGAAGAATAATGAGTTGATAAGGTCAAAAGATATAAGGTCTTTGTGTGTGTGTGTGTGTGTGTGTGCAGAACTAATGGAAGAGTCATTTTGCATATGACTCATTTTTCTTATGCTAACACTACAACATAAGCAGGTTTGGAGCATCTCCACTCCCAGAGTCCTCGTTTGCTTCATAAAGATTTCAAGACCGCGAATGTCCTTGTGGACGAGAACTTCATTGCCAAGGTTGCAGATGCGGGTGTTCGCAATTTTCTTGGAAGATTCGATGCTGTGGGCCCATCTTCTTCCATCACGGCTGATGAAATCTTCCTTGCACCCGAGTACGTGCCATCATCATCATCAAGTGTTTTATTAGAACAACACTGTCCGTATATATATGTCCATTGTCCGTGCAGGGTGAGAGAGTTCAGGCACTTCTCGGAGAAGAGTGACGTTTATAGTTTCGGTGTGTTCCTTTTGGAGCTTGTAAGCGGTCGTGAAGCAGTTGAGTTATTGTCTTCAAGCACAGACCAGAACATAGTTGAATGGGTAAAATAAAATAATCTTCCATTTCTGCTTACCAATTCAAACAAACCTGCTTTGCATAATAATAGTCTATCTTTTGCTTCACACAATCAATCACACACATATATATATACTAACTACATTGGTTATCATCACCACCACCATAATAATGGGCATTCTTCTTCTTGCTCATATTTTATTCTTCTTTAAAGGTGGAAAACCATCAAGAATCGGGGAACGTGTCGGCCATAATTGATCAGAGACTGGGAAACAGCTTCACAAAGGAAGGGATGGAAGAGTTTATGGGGTTGATGGTGCGCTGCGTGGAGGCATCGAGCGAGAGGCGGCCGGGGATGAGTTACGTGGTGGCGGAGTTGGACCGCATACTGGAGAAGGAGATGAGCTTGACAACAATGATGGGGGAAGGAACACCAGTTGTCACCCTTGGAAGCCAGCTTTTTAGAGCTTCAAAATAATTTTCTCACTATTTGAAAAAATAATTTAAAAAAAAAAAGATTCTCCTCCCCCCCTCCACAAGAAGAAACATTCTAATCCTACATATTTCTGGCCCAGCTGTGTGTGTGATAATTGTATAAAAAGAACAAAAACAGCTGTTGTCTTATTTAATTGTTTCATTGTTCCCTATTATTATTTTTTTATCTCATAAATGTGTTGAATTCTTGTTCGCAGCAACTAATAATATTCCCTTAGCTGTCCCCCTTTTGAATTGTCCGCTTTTAAATTTTCATTTCTTCTAAATTAGGTGTCCACTCTCCTCATTATTCAATGCAAGTATTATGATGAATTGTATAACGTTAACGTTTTGAAAAGGTTATCTACAGACAGTATTTAATATTAGCATTTTCAAAATTAATCTGCACTCTTAAAATTTCCCCAAACAGGTCCCAAGTATAAAATTTGTAAGAAGCATTTTTCATATGATAATTGGGCGTAATGTTTTATTGTTATATATGTTGGGCAGCTTCTCTTGCCAGGTTGAGCCAATTCAAAATGTATGCCGATTTCGGAAACAATCCTACTTCAAGCATGAGCTTTGTACTGCTGCCGCCTCCTTGACGACGGCGCAGGCTGCGTTTATTATGAGAATGAGACGGATGAAGGGTTTCAGTCTGAAGAAAAGGCGGCGGCGGGATAGCCACCATTGATTTGCAGCAGTTGTCCACTCATCTCCACATAGTTGAGCAGCTGAGGAAAGCTCTCCTGCTCTTATCATTGTTTCCCCTTCTATAACTATCTTCTTTTTGAATTGACATGATTTTTAATAAAGTTTTAGGAGTACAATTTAAAGAGTATATGATTGTATCTTGCATTAAGTAAAAAGAAATTAAATAATGTGAATCACACATTCTTTTCTTCCAAAAAAGTGAAAGAAATTTTGACAATGATGATGGAGCGGTAAGGAATGCTATGGTAGCATTTCAGGACAAATTTGCAAAATTAAATAATTCAACTCTTTTACTAGTATCTACTTTTCCAACGCACACATAAACATTGAATTCAATTCATTTGCATCCACGGCACTAAAAAGTAAAACTCGCCGAAGAGGCTGGCTGTTAAAGAAGAAGAAGAAGAATAAATGAATAATAAAGAATCTCTGGTGTTACAGAAAGAAAGAAAACGGAAATGATTTTACAGGTTGAGGTGACAGAGAACAAACAAGGATCATCTTCAAATTCACTTTGAGACTTGTTGAAACAGAGGCTCTTGTGATTTCTCTACTTTGTGTGTGTGTGTGTGTGTTGTTTGTCAAAGAGGAGGAGGAGCGATGGATCCCTGTTTTGCTTTTAGGACAAGTTCTTCTGTCGTGGTTCCGATTATCTCATTCGCCCGCTTCAGGCCTACATAGCTGTACCTTCCGATTGTATCCTAAATTCACACCCAAGTGAGCCATCAGAACATTGTAATAACAGAAGAAGAGGCTAGGGGGTCTCAAGAACGATGTCATTGTGGTGTTGGATATGAGGAACTCTATTTTTTTTCCTTTTTTTTTTTGGTTTTTTTGGGTGGGGGGGCGGGGGGAAGGAAACAAACAAAGCACATTTTTACCCGAGTGACAATGCCAAACTTTTCCAACTTTTTGACTGCATCATCCACATCAAAGTTGCAGATCACACCAAATTCATCTCTTATCAGTTCTTCACAACACTGGTCAAGCTCCTGCAGCACCATATTCTTATTATTTGGGCAGTAACAACTTAAGTGCAGTTCCTTTTTATTTATTCTATTGTTTTTTCTTTAGAAGTTAGACATTACATAATTATTCAAGGACAAACAGGAGGAAACGTGGATACCTGCAAGGTAACCTTTCCCTTCTCCATCAATATAAAGAATGAGATTATAACCTCCTTTACCTGCACATTTGAAACATGACATTCATGAAACATATGATACATCACAGGAAGAAAAAAAAAGTGAACTGTGTAGAGTAGAGAGGAAAATGGAAAGCAAATTTGGCAGATAGTACAAATTGGGTTCGAACTCGATAGATCATATGATAATAGCGACATGGATCTGAATATATCGTAAATATTAAAAAGATTGACTATATTTATTTTTCTGTCCTATTTTTCCCAGGTAAAAACATGAACCAATTGTCCAATGCTGCACATTCAAAAGAAGGCTGGAGGGAAATCAGAAGGGAATAAAGTGTTACTCGGCTTGCTACAAAGAGTATATTCTCCAATTGTCCAATGCTGCACATTCAAAAGAAGGCTGGAGGGAAATCAGAAGGGAAAAAAGTGTTACTCGGCTTGCTACAAAGAGTATATTCTCCATTCAGTGTTTCCCTTACTGATACAAGATTATTTGGCCTAACTCTATTTCTTTTGCAACAAGAGACTTCTAAGCTCCCTGGAAAATAGATCTCTGCCTATTTTCCTGCCCCTAAAAGGATTTTAATCTTTTGAGTCTAGGTCATATATAACCTTTTTAAGTATATTTACAAGATTAAGCCAGATGTTGGTTGGTAAAGTAGCAGTAATCTAAAATGGAAAAGAAAATGTCGTAGAAAAGTGAAAAGAATAGAAGGTAGCAGTTCAGTGAAAATCATACTTCTTGTTGAATCACATCATCACACAAGTGGAGTAAAGTGCCCCTTCCGCTATCGAGTTGTTTGTCATACATTGACTGGGTAATCAGGTTCTGGTATGCAGCCATGTTTTGTTGGAATCTGTATATAGTTAGGAGAAGATCTAACACCCCATCAAGAATTTAAATAATATTAATAGGGTAGCAGTTAATCAATGAACAAAATTCTCCCTCCGTCCCCCAATTTTTGTCCACTTTTTACTTTTGGAACTGTTCATCTAAGCACTTTGACTCATCAAATTCTCTCAATGTGTAAGCCTAAATATAGTCATGTGTGATTTTGTTTGATTTGTCTTAACATATAGATTATTAATATATACTTTTTATAATTTTTTAATATACAAATTACAAGATAAAATGGATTAAAGAAGTGCATTGGATGGTGTGCAAAAATGAAAGTGGACAAAAACTGGGGGACAGAGGGAGTATATCAAAATCACAAAATGGCATTCACAAAGGCATGTGCAATAAGAGAAGTAAACATATGCACAAAGCAAAGCTATGCTTTGCCTATAAAGGAAAATGACATTCACATCCTCTGATGCCTACATTTTACCGGAAAAGACCCTGCCTATGCTCCACCTGACCTCACTCACAAAAGCAAACGTGACGTTTCATGTGTTTATTACAGAACTAAAATTAGTTATTTCTATGAAACTTTAAAAAGGAAGAGCAAAAGCACCAAATACAAATGTGTCATTATGTCGAGTCTATTGGAATGTTGGCATGTAGACCTGGACAAAGCGGGCCAGACACAATCCCTGATCTAAACCCGACCCAAAATTAGCCAATTAGGTGTGTTTGGGTATAACTCTTTTAATGGTGCTTGTTTAGATTCATGGTGTGTTATTTGATTTTTAATTATGAGGTTTGTTGTCCTACAGGCATTAAAGTTCAGAGTGAAATTTGTTATGTGGGTTCAGTTAGTTGACTTTGAAATTTGAGCTTTGATTGTGCTATATTTTGAGGGGGCAGTTTCGTACTAATATTGTTATATTATGCAAATATGCTGGTACATTATTTTAAAAAGTCAAGTGAATTGTTAATCCATTCCCGGCTCATTTGATTAAATGAGTAAATACACTATGTTGGCCCCTGTGGTTGCGAGCTGCCTGTTTATGTTATACTCCAGAGTAAAAAAGTTCAAGTGTAAATTTCAAACTTGTTTAATAAATGTGTTGGGTTCAAGTTAGGGGACATTCAACCCAAACACAGTGTGTCCAGTTTCCTAGGTCTCTTCGCGTGTCATGTTTTCCCTTACAACTACAAATATACTCATAAGTGCCAATTCAATCCAGTATATGAGTATATGACAGGTTGTATTACCATTATATGAAGTAAGAAATAATAAAGGCAAGAACACATAATTAGGAAACTTAACGTGAAGTATGTCTTTGCGATATATCCAACCACTGTGGATAGAACTGCAAACATGACCCAAAAATCAGATTTTGGAGATTCAATAGAACCCGCAACTGCTACCTGAAAGAAAATCACAGTGGCACCACATACATGCATCAAGGAGAAGAATGGGATAATTTCAAAGGCAAAAGCACAGACTCATGCCTTCTCAGATTTAAGGGGCTAGGTTCTAACCAGTCCAACCACTGCAGACACAAGGAATTTCACCCAATCCATAGGAGTAAGGCTTGGGTTCTTTTTCTCGGGCTAAAGAAAACAGTGAAACAAGAACTATGTCAAGCGGAGAAGGATGGTCACAATCATGCATAACAGAACAAGTATTGCAACAGAACACGTCCTGCTTGGAAGTAATCATGTTACAAGAGGCCGTAAGAAAATATGCTCACAAGGACAATTTCCATGTCAGCCATGGGAATATTCTTGAAATGCTTCACATGAATTCCTCTTTCTTGTTTTGTTTTGGCACTGGCTGGTCTGCAAAATCACCATTTGAGCTCATTAATATTTAATAGTGACCAATGACCAAACCTGACCAAACAAACCCAGTATGTATATCCCACCCAAGAGTAGGGTATGCTGTACGCAGAGACAAGATATAAGCAGACCTTAGCACTAGCTCAACACAAGACAACAACCTACTCAGTGAAGTCTCACCCAGTGGGTGGAGTAGAGAGGTTGTTTTCGAAAAGGACCTCCAACAAACACTGACCCTTAGTGAGAGAAGTGAGGGAGAAAAACATGTGTGCACGCAATGATAACATGACAATATAGAGCTCTTTGGTGGGCAATTCATGCCAGTAACGATGGAAGCACTCTTGCCCAAAACCCAAACAGCTAAATTTGTAACAGCAAAAGTTTTAAACTAGTTTTGCCTTAACAAACAAAAAACACTAAAAGAATCAAGAAACAATATACCTGTAAACAACAATTATCCTATCAAAAGTTGGTTCTTGAATCATAATTTTGCTTAGGAGATTACGGAAGCTGCATGGAAGAGTGCAGTACTTAATTACAATGAATAGTATCAGGAACTCAACAGTAACATAGATGTGCATAAAAGCTGCAAGAGGGTTAAGGTTAGAAAAAGAAATCACATATTGATAGCTTTAACATGTAGATATGTTTTCGTGTACATTGTCAATGCAGCTTAAAGAGTCATTTTTATGATGTTTTAGCTTTGGGAAAATAAAAGTAAATCTGAATGGAACACTTAACTTTGATTGGTTCTTACTTACTATGAAGCTAAGTGCATTAGCACATCAAGGGTTTAACAGAAATTGAACCTCTGTTTTTTAGAGGGGTAAGATTGTGTACATCTTCACCCCAGACCCTGAAGAACTTGGAATTATACCAGGTATGTTGTTGTGATGCAAAAATATCTTGTCAACAAGTAAACGTATGCGTTCTACTAGCATGAAAAGTTATGAACACGCATTGTTAACCATTTGGATTAAGATCTGTATTGTTCAAACTCAGATATCAACTTTATCGTCACTCAGAGATCTGATTTATGCTATAAGAACTAAAGAGGGAACAGAAAGCTAAAAAAGTCTAACTTCATGTTACTCAAGATGTACTTCACAAATACAGATCATGGTATCAGCATGGGTGACCCACAGGGTGGTATCCTCTAAGTTTGAGAACAAGAAAAGAGGATAACTCTCAGAATATGAACAATGTTTTTTAGTTGAATACAATTAAACCTGATTCCAAGATTCTCAATGCGGATTCGTTCAACATATAAGTCTTCATCATCTATTTCACCAGTGATTTCATCGTCCTTCTTTGGATCTTTTCTCTGTTGTTTCCTTGATCTCCTAAATAATGCATCTAATCTGAAACCACACACCCCAACCCCACCCCACTCCCCCCCAAAAAAAGAAAAGGAAAATGGAGAAGGCATTGATTAAGGTTATATAGAGCTATAGACACCGCAAAATAAGCCAAGTGAAAAAATGAACTGTTTACGCTTGGCATCCTAATTCAAACCTATTACCTTGTTTTCTTTAATATCCAATTCCACAAGCATGCAATCATCGTGTCTACTTTTTCCAAGAAAAAGTAATCAGTTGTCCGATCTATCCCAATTCCTCGCCGAAAGATTACATACTGAAATTTATAACAAACACTGTTGAAGAATTCAGAAGCATCAGCAAACTCTTCATGTTTGTCATAATTATTATCACTTCTTCTTTTTTGTGAAGATATTACTTCTTATTTCTTTAATATACTTTTTTTCAAAACCAGCAAAACATATCAAGCAATCCCCAAAAGAATTTGATTTTGGCAGACTACAAATTTGTGGTTACTAAAGAATAGAGCAGTTCTTCTAGTGACTGTAGATGCTTCGACCCAGAGGGGACATCCAAAAAAGATGACAATTTGGAGAGGGAAGGAGTATCAATTGTTGGAGATCTCAGAGTAAATATAATCATCCTGGTGGGGATGGAGCACCAATATTTAATTTGACATTTATATCCACACCAGTGTAGCAAACAAAATTCATTCATTTTATAACCCAACAATGTTTTTTAGATTACTTCCTTTGTTCCACAATAAAATTTACACTTGTTTTGTCCGTCCCAAATAATATCTACATTCTCCTATTTCCTTTTAAGGAATATGTGGCTCAAAATATTTCTCTTCTCTAAACAAATTCCAGATACCCACTTATCACTTTTCACCATTCTTCCTCAACTCCGTGAAGTCAAAGTGTAAAGTTCTTTGCAACACAAATGGAGTATATGGATTGCTTGGGAAAAGATAACATCCTTTTTTAAATACGCTGAAGATTCTCATAACTTTCAACTTTCTAGCTATAACTAGTTACATACCTTATCAGCAAATTCAGGAAGGTTTTCCATCGGGTGCTCTACAAAATACTTCTTCAAAAGTTTATTGTCAAGCTGCAATCCACAGATTGTAATTAAAATTGCCAAGAGAACTTTCTATACAGTAAAACCACTTTTACCATTCTTAGAACAGACATGAAATCAAGCGCAAATATAAACCTTAGATTCATCTACTGCGATGGGAAGATTTAAAAGATACTGCCCGGAATGTGCAACTTCAATCTCCTCGTCGGTTGCTATTTTAAAGTTGCTTTTATCCATTATCTGCATATGAACAAGTTGGGAAGGTGGGTAGAAAAGATGAAGCTTAGAGAACTTCATAGATTATTTCTCTGTGAGGGAATAAGGGATCCAAGCTATCCGAGTTTGAGGCTCAGTTGTTAACCTCTTACGGCTTAGGTTGATAAGCAAAGCAAAGTCATATGATACTACTGGAGAAAGAAAAGATTTCATGAACTCGTTATTAGTGAAAATGGTACCAGTCCTTTGGCATATAATAGTTTATGTTCCCGACTTCCCTCTAGGGCTCTAATAGGCATATGGTTATGTTCCTGAAATCATCCACAGATATCTTTGGTTTTCACTATTTTATCACATGCACCATGTGCGAATGAAGCTCCAATGTCTTAATGCCTTTTTTCACACTTAATCCATGTCAACTTAGAGTAATGATTTCTTGGTCCTAAGGTTCATACCTAATATGTGGACCTACTCACATAATTTCCATTTGATGGGCTCAAATTTTTGGAAAGACCCACCAACATTGCAAAAGATCTAAATGTTACACAAGATCCACTAAATTAAGGTGGACCTAAGGTCCACCAAAGTATTTGCCCATTTTTAAATCAGGCAAACCCAAATCACGATTTTTTAACTACACCCAATTATGTGTGAATTTCATTGTTTTGAACTTTATCTTTCCTGCTCTATGCATGTCCATCTTAACATTACACACCTCTTTCTCACCAATTTTCTTCATTGGAAAGCTTTTCTAATAGCAGATATTTCGATCCACGAAATACAGCCATTGTGATGGTTGTACATGAAACTTTTTTTCCAGTCCTGAAGGCATGAATGATATGAACACATTGTATGCATATCTCAACTTCTTTATTAGACCTTTGTTCATTGATGCCTGCAATTTGTTTATAATACTACAATGGGTCCTTAAACTTGAAGCGGTCTCCTAATGATAACTCTATATCATCCAATTTTATCCCACTTTGTTTCATATCAAAAGATTACTAACTTTCACTTCAAATACACAGTACAAGAATGCAAGTGAAGGCGAGTGGGTGATTTTAGAAAAACATGTGAAATATAAAATGAAATGAAAAGCTGCTTTGGTTATAAGTCATAATGTAGAAAAGTAACAGGAGCACCACAGTATTCCAGGATGAAGGTGCCATCCTACCTTAAATAAGTAAGTCAAGAAATTCTGTTCAAGTCTGTCAATTTCCTCTGAATTCAAGTTCTGTTGTTCCAGTTTTTGAGCCCCGTGGACGGGATCGAATAAGGAGTAAAGTTGCTGCAATCAAAGAACAATTCGTAACAAAATATACAAGCAGAGCAAAACAAACTTCTGTTGTTCTGGTATGGGCAAATTACAACCACGCAGGCATTATTACCATGAGATCTTCAAACTGCAAGAGATACCAGGCCCGAATTGTGTACTCAACTCTTTTGCAGAGCTTCAAAAACTCTGCCCGGTCAGCAGAATGCACTGGCCATGAGCAAATCAGGAAGAAACAACACATGAATATAGAGAAGCAACAATACTTGGAAACAGATGGAAAGAAAAAAAAAAAAAAGAGGAACCTAGAGCAGTAGTCACCAATGAGTTCGGCAAGAGTCATGATAAGCCTGGGCTTGAGGATTGGAATCACAGACTCGCGCTCCAAACGGATCACCTCGGTGCCGTTTTTGTTCTCCGTGACAACCATCGATTCCAATTGGGCGGATCCTTTTTTCTATGGCCTTATGGTTTCCTTCCGTAAATTTTTAATCAATAGGACGCAAAAAAAATACAGAAATGTTTGCAACAGCGAACAATCGAACGAGGAAGGCGAAGATGAAGGAGATTACCGTTTCGAAATTTGCAGCGGTGAACGGAACATTCAAGGAGACGGGTGCAGCCTCCGTTGGAATCAGGTCCTTCCTTGGCCACACAGCAAGGTAGATGCGAGATGATGTGATTGGCGGCTGAGTGTCTCTGGAGTGTACTCCCGTCCGTAGTACAGTTTATACACACAGACACAATGCGTATTGCGTTACGTCCATGCTCCACGACAGCGCGCAGCAGGGCGAATCTGGTGCTCTTTCTCTTGAAGACTATATTAATTAGTAGAAAAATGATAGGGATACACCATTTGGTATACCCCATATGTCCCCCACCCCCTCCTTGTCCACTAAAAAAGGTAAAAAAATTTTAAAAAAATAAGTAAATAAAAATCAAATAAAAATGTGTGGTGGAAAAGAGGGTGGTGTACATTTGGAGTACACCTTTGGTGTACCCCTAGCATTGCTCTAATTAGTATGATTATCTCCCAACATGGTTTCATCTGGTGCTATTTTCTCAACGAGAAAAAAGAAGATAAATTATTATACAACCTGTGTGTCTAGAATAACGTAATGTTCTATCTTAAATTAATGTAATATTCATTCTGAAATGTTCTACATATTTACTCATTACAATTATAATATTTATCTAAGAACAATATTTTGTTTATTCCAAATCTGTTAATCGTAATTTTTATTCTCAAATAACATCTGAAATAATATATTATTCATTCTAAAACAATGTAATATTCTTTTTTGAAGTAACGTGGTGCTCAGTTTTTAGCCACAACGTGTTTATCTTCATCCCTGCTGGCCTAAGGGTTTTTAAAAGGCTATGTTCATCCAATTGTTGCACCACCTCCTATTTGAGAGACATGACACTCGTAGAAAACTGACCTTTTTAGGAAAATTAACTAACGCTAAAACTCTTATATCAATGCATTAATACACAACTTTATTTAAATGTAATATATGTTAATACGAGTGTCAACATTAATTACATATGATGAATATGCAATAATAACATCCCACTAACTTAAAAAATTTAATTACATATGATGAATATGCAATAATAACATATATCCAAATTTATAACATATCACCTCAAACATGAACAAATGTAAATTTTTTATCTAAAATTACTTTTTCAACATTTATTTGGATGATCATTTAATTGAGTAAATTTTTAACACTTTATCCTTTTTAATATTTTTCAACTCTTTCCATTTTTTTCCCAACATTTGATGGTGTCTTCCAAAATCTAACTTTAGAATTTCAATCGAAAAAATATGCCATATATGCATCCACAACTCTATTTCCTTGTCATTTATGGTGACACCCTGAATATATATGTTCCATTCGTCCAATATCTACCTTCGTCATTGATACTGTCACAACATTAAAATGTTCATACACTTTCAAACAAGATCATACTTAACGCTACATGTAATCCCATGATGATAAGCATGACAATATATATAAAGTCACTCTTACAAATATACCAATATATAATGTTACATATCGCACATGTCAACTGCACAATGTCAAAAAAGTAAAATTTTGAGACTTTCTATACTACGCTTTGCCAATACCATAATTATTTAATTTTGATACAAATTTAACAAAATAATTCTCTAAAAAGTATATTTTGGTCTAAAATTGAATGTAATATAAGTTCATAATGCCACGCAAATGCATACTGCCATCACCCCCTTCACAGGCACCACCGGCTCCAACCTAATTACCTTTCCATTCATTAACGTCTCTATGCAAAAAAAAAGGAATCAAGAGAGAATACTTGATTTTTGAGTTCTCTGCTAAAATCCAAAATTGGTATGAAGTGAGTGATATAGTGATTAAAGTTAGTGCTGATATGACGTTAAATGATTATTGATTTCGAGTGAGCGAGGGTGAAACACCTTGAGTAGATTTAAGGGTGAGAAAAATAATGTGCATGTCGCATATAAATGTCAAAGTGTGCGAGGTTTCTTCCTCTTCTTCTTCTTGGTTTCCAAGGGAGCCAATATATAATGAAGTTTTTGAAATGTGATTTTATATGAGGTTATATTTTAGTGATGGGTAATTTACCTAAATAGATGTAATACATAATAACTTTCTTAATATAAGATCATATGTTTTTATTTCTCAATGTATGACCATTGATTATTATTTATTAGCCATTATTCAACTAAATATCAAACATTATTTAGATATTATTCTTCTCCCTAATCATTATTAAGTCATATTTAGGGAATAAAAAATATAAATACTACATTAAGTAATGACTTATGTTTTAATCTATGACTCTGTGTAGTGCAAATTTCATTTTAAAAAAAGTCTCAAGATTCATATATTCTCTCTCCAATTTCCCTTCTTTTCCACACATCCAAATTCGAAACAAAGGCTTGATGAGAAGTGGGGGCGATCGTGCGATAAACGTGTGATGTTAACGTTGCGCGATTTACGAAATTCAAAAAGCACGCTTCCCGAAAAACGGAAGCGGGAAGATGACGAGTCCAAAAATCACATTTTAAAAATAATCACTATCTCATTCTTCCCCCCACCCTCTCTCTCTCTAAGTTCCTCACAACTCCTCCGTACGGGTAGGGCACTCCGCGACGGCCCTCTTCCGCTGCTGCAGATATCCACCGCTTCCGCCATGGATGCCAGAAGAAGGAGCTCCAGAATCGAGTTGCTGGAGAAGAAAGTTGCCTCAGTGAAAGTTTCCCAGAGTGGAAACAGAGGCGTCAAAAAGAGAAGAAGAACCGAGTCACCCGCTCCAGCGAAGGAGATTTCGTCCAATTCGGACGGCAGAACTTCTCAGAAATCGGTCACAGAAACTATTCGCCGCTTCAACACGCTCTATTTGCAAGCTGTTCAGGTTCATATCTCCACTCAATCCATTTTCCTTCAACAGACACAATGTTTTTTTTGACCTTTTTTCTCCACTGCTGTATTTAGGAGGAAGAAACCAGGTTGAAGAAGGAAAAACCAAAGGTTAGTCTCTAATGGGGTTTTATATTTGTCCAATATGGAGTACTGAATAGGTCACAGTTTAAGACTTGATTGATTCAATGCGTGCAGAAAGTGGCTGGAGAGGATGAGAAAAAAAAATCTTTCAGGCCAGATCTGAAAGCATTATCCCAGGCATGCTTCCAGTTGCTACTACATTTGTTGATGGGCTTTCTACAGGCTCTCTCTTTTCTGTTTTATGAATCTGAATTTTAATGCTCATCTGTTCTACCACGACCTTCACACATAATGCTTAAAAAGTAAAATGCCGGAGGAAGTAGAGACCCTCTAAAAACACACATCCCCTTTTTCATATTATCCATCTCACTTGACAAGGCATAACTATATTGTTCAGATTTATTTAGATATTAGAAAGAATAATAGGAACATACCAAAAATGAAATGTTTGATATTGAACGGGTAGGAGAAGTAACATTTAAACATCAGTTTTTGCATCATTTGTTTCACATTGGTGATTGCACAGATGATCTTAACATGGTCGTGGGCTAGGCATTAGTTCTTCCACGATGTCTATTGTCCCGCTTTCTAGTGATGTCTGAAAATGATGAGCTCTTATGCTTTGAACAAAGTGCCTGAACTATGTCGTGATCTGTCTGATATATGGACCTACTGAAACCATTCAAAGATCTTTTTTATGAGTGTAATGCCATTTAAAATATGCAGAAAAGTAATAAACTTGGAGGTTAGCGCCATGATTTTTGCAATGCATTTTATTCATGAAATAGATGATCATAACACAAGCAAAATTGGACAGTGTGATATTCAGGGTAAGAGGACTCTAAAAGTGATTAGACTTAAAGATAGAAGTTTAAACCTATGTTAGAGTGAGGAAATTTGCATGAATGAACTGTACATGTTACTATAGTTGTATGTTTTGACAACAATTCATGCATGATATTTAAATCAAATGCTTGCAGATGAAAGAAAACAATGAGACAATCGAGACTCCAAACTCCTTCGGTGATATACCAGGTTTATGGTTTTAACTTTTTTTTTTGAGTCACTTCTTGTTCAAATGATTGTTTTGCAAATGTCATGCACTTACTGCTTACTCCCAAAAGCTTATGCAGTCATGCCTTAATGTTTTTCTTGTTAGAAATATTGTTTATTTTCTTGTACTACTCTGTATTACTTAAAGGTTCTATTAATTTATTTTCATTAAGCACATAGATTCATAAATATATTGTTTGATTGTTTAGTAGACATCAAATTCACAAGCTAATCTGCCTGCATCTCTAACTCATGATATGACAACTTTGCACATAAAATGTAGAACTAAATCCACAGCAATTTCAAGTAATAAACATGCATAGTTCACTGCAATGTGAACAAAGAAGAAATAATTTTAGCTTGAGATAATGGATTGAAACATGTAAACTGCCATTTTTTACAACAATAAGGCATCTGTACGTCTATGTTTCCATGATATCTTTGCCTCTATTTACACAACCACTATTGTTTAGTGTTGCTGTGTTTATTGCTTTCTCCACATGCAATCCAACTAAATTGACGTGGCTGCATATTAAAGTTTTTTCTAAGATTCCTTCCATCACAAATTGAAGTGTTTTCTGAATGTGTTAGGTTAGTGTAAGGACTTATGTGGCGAGAGTTGGTAATATGGTGTAAGAAGAAGGAATTGAGATATTTCATTGTTTCCATAATTCCATCACTCTCGCCATAGATTAAAATTATATTAGTTGGTGAAATACACATTTTAGTAGGGATTGAACAATAACTAAGAAATGGAGAGGATATCTAATCACACCATTTAAACTATTATGATCAAGCCCTAAGATAACATTGCCACATTGGCCTTGATGAGCACACAGTTTCATAAAACTTCACACATCATGGTGCGTGTTCCAAGTTCCAACACAACATTTATAAAAAGCTATTTGATTACTAATCAGTCTATTGAAATGCATCCTTTCAATTCTAATATATAATGTTAAATCTGTTTCTCTGGTGTAGGGGTTGAAGTTGGACATCAATTTTTTTCAAGATGTGAGATGGCTGTTATTGGATTCCATAACCATTGGCTCAATGGAATTGATTATGTTGGGAATTCAAAAGCAAAGGTACTATATTTTTGCCATTTGGTAATGGGGGTAATGGCGTAATGACACATTACCTGCTATGGAAAAATACAAAACTTTCTAGTATTTTTCTTCTTTTTATTACTTACAAATAGAATATGATAAATACCATCAATTAAAACATATATTTTAAAATGATATTGCTGGTTTATATTCAAATGATTTTTTTACAATAATGTTTTCATCATTTTTTTTACTATAAATTGTACAAAAATCATTCTTTACCTGACCATTTTAGCAAGTACAATCACCTGTCTTGCTTGGACCTGCAAATTTATAGAAGCCATGAATCGTGGTCCGTGGACTGCCTTTGTCATTCTCTTTACGAGATGAGCTCTGTCATGAGTCCTAACCTTTAAAGTGAGTCATAGATTGCGGCTCTTATGCCATGCAAAAAATATCAACAAAGGAAAAAATCCCCATACTTTATTTTATATTTAGTAATTAGAAGATAACTATTTTATATAGGGCTGTGTGGTGTTGATGTATTGAAACTTGGTGTTTGGTAATGAAGTTGTGTTTTATGTGCAAAAAAAAAAAAACTATTTTATATAGACACATGTTGATATAGGTGCAAAACACAAACCAAACAATTCCAATATATTCACCGAGAAATAAGGTTGGAGAGGGTAAGCGGTACACTGACTACCTTTATTTCCAAAGAGTAGAAAGGCTATTTATGAACGGACCATCAACAATATTTTAGAGATCATAAACATAGATTTATATGTCAAGAATGTGTTTTGAGCACAATTTGTTAGTTGTATATTGTCAAAGATTTCTTTGCTGTTTATATATGAATTTGTTTTGCTCAAGAGAATTTTGTTATGGTTCACTTTGGTACATGGTGGGCTTTGATTGTTTTCCTACTACTTTGTTGTGTGGTAGAGGTTTACTTATAAAAGAAAGAAACAATATCAACCATCTATCTTTCCCTTGAAAGAAAACAAAAACAATCTTTTGGGACAATAAAAATTGAACATCATATATATCTCATATTTAATTTCTAGTCTTTAAATACTTTTTGACTTCATAGGACTTTAAAGGGTACACACTGCCGCTGACAAGATCCATTGTACTATCTGGCCAATATGAAGACGATCAAGATAACTACGATGAAGTTGTCTACACAGGCCAAGGAGGAAATGACTTACTTGGCAATAAGCATCAAATCAAAGACCAAGTCATGCTGCGGGGTAACCTTGGCCTGAAGGTTTATAACTTTCTGTTCTCTTTGCTTCCTTTCTCATTTATGGACCATTATTTATTTTATTCATTTTTTATTCAAAGTGGAGTTGAGTAGTCATACAAGCAATTTGGTGAGGGTTATTTGGATGATATGCACGGTTCTCATGAATTTTGGTGAGGGTTATTTGGATGATATGCACGGTTCTCATGAATTTTCTGAAAGTTTCCTTGAAAATTATTTCAGCACAGATGTTATTTTTTCTTATAATTCCATTACTTGCCCTAGGTCTACTTGGTGTTTATTCTAATTGGCATTTTTAAAATGACAGAACTGTGTTGCGCAAGGTGTGCCCGTCCGAGTAACTCGTGGACATAAATGTGAGAGTAGTTATGTGGGAAAGGTTTATACATATGACGGTTTGTATAAGGTGAATGTTTTCCCTCTTTTATGCCCTATTGGCTTGAAAAGCACACCATTGCAACTGCCTTTTTTATTATGATCTGCTAGCTTGATTCTTATGATCACATTTATCTGAATGATCAGTCTATTGATTATCACTTTTATTATCTAAGGCCTCATTTGATGTGGTTGTCAGTTTTCAGTTTATATGTAACTTTTTTTATTGTTAAATAAATCAAATTATATTAAATCAATCAACTGCCAATAGAAGAAATTAAACTAAAACTTGTTTCCCAACTCTGGTGTTTAATTGTCAAAAAACTCAAAATTGGCAGCTACAGCAAACAGCCTCAAGCATATATAAATAGTTTATTTTATGAATTAGTACATCACACATATTATAGAACATTGTCTCCCGGGGGTTTGTTTTTTATTGCTACGTGGCTGTTGAAAATTTTCTGAGTTATGAATTTGTTGTTTGATTTTGCTTGTATAGGTTGTAAATTATTGGGCTGAAAAAGGCGTTTCTGGATTTACTGTCTATAAGTTTCGCCTTAAACGTATTGAAGGACAACCTCCACTGACAACAAACCAGGTCTTGTTTTTTTATTTTACTTCTGCCTTTGTTTTTACCAATTACTCAATTTTTATTTTGGTTTACTATATTCAATATAAAGGAATAGATGCAGAATCCTGCTATTGTATACATAGATGTTAGCTAAAACATAGTACTGTGTATAATGTATATGAAAAACCTCTTTGTCCATCATACATTTACTACAAGAGTACTCACAACAAAGACAATATTCAAAAAAGTGTAACCTTCAGTTATTAATGAAGTAAGAAACCAGAGAAATATACAATTTATTATCATACATTTACTACAAGAGTTCTCCCAACAGAGACATGATTCGCTAAAAAATGTAACCTTTAGTTATTAATGGAGTTAGAAACAAGAAAAAAATATATTAACAAAAGCCAGTATTGGAAAAGCGAATTGTATTTTGCAATATGTTTATAATTTTATGTATGTGTTCACTCATGGAATTATGGTCTACTGTCCATCCACGTCCAGGTTCACTTTGTTCGAGGTGGTGCTCCAAGTTCTATCTCTGATATAAGAGGGTGAGATATTTAAGTTAGAGGCTTTATTTTTCCACTCCATCCATCCTATTTTATGGGGCCCAATTGTTTTTTTTTTTGGCATAGATACTAGGGATACATGTTATTTGATTGATTTTCTTTTTTATTCTCAAGTTGTGTTATTAGGTAAAAATATCTAATTATTAAAGAGTAAATTGGAAATATTGTAAAGTTGTTTCTAAAAAAAGAAAATGGACATAACTGTTGGTACAAATTAACAATGGGAACCTAAACATCGAAAATAGAACATGTAGTAATTTATATAGCTACCTTGATATGTGACTTATTTTATTGCAAAACGCTAGGTTGGTGTGTGATGATATTTCAGGGGGTCTTGAGAAGATCCCCATTCCTGCCACAAATCTTGTTGATAAAGAGCCTATTCCACCTCCAGGTGAGCTTTCTTTTTCCTTTTGCACTTTTTAGTTTATCTTTGATTAAAAGAGGCTTTATACAAATTTTATGCAAATATCAAAATGATGCAAAATTATCTTGTTTATTACTTTTCAACAACATATTAAAAGATTTATTGGACTTAGAAGATAGTTGGCAATGCATAGTAGAATTCATGTAAGGGGTAGAACAACTACTTTGCAGTACTTCATGTTAACAGTAGTATAAGTTGTCTAACAACTCTAAAATACAGTAGCTCTTGCTTAAATGATTTCATATACTTGGGATTACTAGCAGTACTTTATTCTGATATTAAGTCTCTAAGGCGGGTTCTAAGCTTTCCTTATGTTTCAACTTTCAATACAGGCTTTACTTATCTGAAGGAGATGAGATGGCCAAAGGATATAAAAGTTCCTTCATCTGGACCGGGTTGCAATTGTCGCGGTTCATGTTTTGACTCCAAAACCTGTTCTTGTGCAAGATTAAATGGTTCGGACTTTCCATATGTTAGCATTGATGGTGGCAGGTGTGTCTAGCTACATAGGTTGCTTAATTTTTTCAGTTTGAAGTGTGATACACAGATGTGGAAGTACTTAGATGTCCTAATAATGGTGCTTCCACGCGTCTTACTAATTGCCATTCTTGATATAGAGCTGTTAGTCCTAATTTTTTCAATTGTAATCTATGCTTTATAGGCTCATTGAACCAAAAGCGGTTGTTTTTGAGTGTGGTCCAAGTTGTGGCTGCGGTCCAAAATGCGTCAATCGCACATCTCAAAGTGGGCTTCGATTTCGGCTCGAGGTTCTATTACATCCTTATCATACACCTTTGATATTTTTTATTGCATATTAATGAAGATAATGTACTGTCAAAACATTCTTTTGAATAAAATGCACATCTCATTACACCAACCATGAAGAACATCCATCCATACAATCACCAATTACACAACATAGTCAGTAGTGACATCAATTAGGTCTAGGAGAATATTCCCAAAATTTCCCATTCTCAATATACCTACAATGAATCCAGTTTTATCCATGGTCTTTTTTGTTAGCAATTTTTGAACCCATCTTCATAATGCATGCCCTATATTCCACTTTTGCAGCATAAGAAAAGTTTGTTGTAATCTAAGAGGAAATTTTGACAATGATGCTTTCCACAAATCTATCATTTTTTTTACCGCAGTAGTAATTTGGCTGCAACGTGAAGACTTTTTATTCAATATTTGTAGGTATTCCGTACACCTAACAAAGGGTGGGGTGTAAGGTCTTGGGATTATATCCCTTCAGGGGCACCTATTTGCGAGTATATTGGTAGACTGATGAAGACAGACCAAGTTGATCCCAAGACCGATACCAGCTACGTATTCGATATTGATTGCTTGCAGACCATGAAGGGTTTAGATGGTAGAGAGGTATGACTCTTAAAAATTTTATTTTCCTGCTACTCCCATTCTTACAGTCCATTTAGAACCTGTAAATTAGGGATGGAAATTTAAATGAAGGATATAATATCTAAATATATGTACATTTTTATTTTACATAAAGACTAAGGCTAAGAAACAAACTTACAAAAAGTCATGTAGAGTATATTATATTTCTTAGCATTTTTTAGTAAAATCCCACAATCTAAACGTACCTTACAGTTGGGATTCTTGATTTCTGCAGAGCCGGTTGGGAGAGGTGACATTGCCTGACCACATGGAGAGTGGCAGCGAGAAAGCCTCCGCACCCGAGTTTTGTATCGACGGGTTTTCTTGTGGCAATGTCTCTAGATTTATCAATCATAGTTGCCAACCCAATCTCTTTGTGCAATGTGTGTTAAGCAACCATCATGATATCAAGCTTGCACGAGTTGTTCTTGTAGCAGCGGATAACATTCCTCCACTACAGGTATTTGAATTCTTTCCTTCAGCACTTGCATAAATATTGGCAGTGGTAATATAGATTGCATTATTTTTTGTCATGTAACATGTTTGGTGTGCACTTGGTTTGACTTGTGGTTCAAAAGTAATTTAGATATTATAGAAGTTATTGGTTTGGTTTGCAAATTTAAAGAAGATAAATACCTTGCAACACTTGAGCTTTTTTTTTTTGGCTTGCAAAATCTTATCAAACACTCATGCTGGGCACTCAGGTTACATTTGTCAAATAGTGTTACGATCTGATGCAATGGAATATATTTAGTGTGATTTTACATTAACAATTACATCTGTTATATTATACTCCGTATCATATTTTATGTTCCATTACTACTCGTCAAACATTATCTTGAACTGTTTTTTTTTTCTCTCTTAAAAAGTAGCAACTTAGAACTTTTTCTTATATAAGCTCTAAAACTGCTCTCTCACTATTGATAATTTTTCTTTCAATCAATTTCTTTTGAAACCTTTTTCTATTTTTATAAACTAAACAAGTATTTCTAAATATGCAGGAGCTCTCATATGACTATGGCTATGAGCTAAATAGCGTTACAGATGCTGATGGAAAGATCAAAAGGCTCAATTGCTATTGTGGTGCAGCAGCGTGCCGGAAGCGCTTATACTAGGGTTAAAATCTGCCTTCATTAAATCAACTCGATTTTTGATGGTCAATTTTTTTGTTCAATCTACATTGTAAGTTTTTTTTTATTTTATGTTGGCGTTTCTTTTAGTTAATACACTCTTAAAGTGAGAAGGGCAAGATGAAGGGGGTCCTGTATGTGTGTGTGATAGATTGTGTAGTCTCCCCCTCTCCCCCTCCCCCCTCCCTCTTCCTGCCTATATTTTTGGAATATGTGCATACATGTAGATTTTTTTTTTTTTGAGCGCTGCATACATGTAGATTGATCATGCCCAAAAGCCAAAATTCATCAAGGAACGTTACCAGTCCTAAACACCATGTATTTTGAGCTCAAACATGAATGCTGCTATTATTGAAATAGTATATTTCAGTGCCAACTCTGAACACCTTTGAAATAGTATAGTTCAGTGCCAACTCTGAACATTTGATTTGTGGAACGAGAGTTTAAAGATAGGCTTTGGAAAGATAAATTTAAAGACTTTGCTACTGATATGTTTTAGTTTTAGGTCTTCTTTTGTTTTAAACTTGATTGGTACATACTTCTTTTGTTATATTTTAAATTTTATGTTAGTCTTTTTTCTCCGTCTCAAAATAAATTGTCCGTTACTTGTTATCGTAAACTTTTAAGAGTAAAATACCTAAACTACTTCTAAAATAAGTCATTTTTTTCACTTTATATTCTCATTCATCGTCACTATTTATAAAAAATAATGATAATTTTGAAAAATCAAATTTATTTTTCTCTTCCTTAAATATACCCAAAATGTAAAACATGCAATTTAAAACGGGATGGAGGAAATATTATTTTCTTTCAATAACTAAACTAACTTTATCCTCTACGGAGTATGGAGTATAATGCAACATTTTTTACTGGTATTATTACTACAGAATCTATTTAAAAAAATCTATTTATATTGTTTGTATAATTTATAGGATCAAATTTTAATTACATTCTTTACTCATTTTTTCGTAATTCATTTGATAAAATAATATAGTTATATTACTCTTGTTTTATAAATTTTTTAATGTGGTTTTTTAATTATATAAAATTTATTTTTTATTTTCACCTTGATTTTCATATAAACATATTTGAAAATAATGTTAGTCAAATATCAAAACATGAGTCATATTTTTATCTTCAAAGTAGGAATTTGCATTGTGATAATGACATTATATATAATCATTTTATAATATTTTTTGGTATTGTATATTAGCATGATTGACATTATATATGCATTTTAACTCATATCATGAAAATAAAAATATGAAACTCTTATTTTAATATATTTTCCATATTTTACTTATATGTTAATCTTTTTTTTTTCCTATAAGTTTAAGATATTACTGTATATCCACCTCATTTTAGCTAAATAAAGTCCATTTATATGTAATTGCTAATTTTATATATAAAAATACAAAATTTAGTTTTTTGCCAATTTTTAATGACAAAGTTGTTTTTTCACGTAATAAAATGGAAATAACAACTAGGGGAGAGCATAGTGCGACATGGTAAAATATTTAGCTCGTAAAGGTATAGTATCGGATATTTCTGTTTGGTGTAATATTTTACGTCGTATTGATCCTGATCACAAAATTTTGGTTTGGTGTGGTTCAACATGGTTGGTATCGGTTTCAATACAAATCGGTATAAGTATATATGTACCTAATTTATTATTTTAGATGTAACAAAACCCTTTATTTTGAAAAATAAAAATGCATTGAAATAAAGAAACATTTGAAAAACTAGAAAATGAATAATTAAATCTAAGAATGACTGATGAAACTTAGTTTGTCTAAAGAAAATGAATGATAACAAACTAACGGCTTGTTAATATTATTAATTCATCAAGAAAAACTTAAAATTGGAATAAAAGAATAATGTGATAGAATTAGAACAAAAACATTAAATAAATTTATAATTTGATGAAAAATATAAAAGGAATATTATATTGATAATATTTTAGAATATTTTCGGTTCAGGAAGTTTGGTACGAAAAATTACCTCGTACCATTTTCAAATATCAAACCGATCATTCGATTCAGTACGATCTTTCAATAGTGTCTTTGATTTGATATTTTTGTATTCTAAGTTTTTCCGAAATAATTTACGAGTTCGGTTCTTGTGATCTCTCTAAGAGCACACTATTTCTCTTTTGATTCACTATTTTATTTATTTATTTATTTATTTTTGAATCACATTTTATTACCAGTAATTTTTGGAAAATTTATTACCAGTAACTTTTTTTTGCTACCTCTCTCTTTCCTTTGATTCACATTTTTTCAGGCTTCATTTCCATTTCTGAGATCTGTTTGTTATGAATCGGAGGCCTTATTTCATTCATTCTTAGTTTTTGATTCCAAACTCAGGGGAGAAACGGCTCTAATTCTCTCAACGGAGCATCTGATTCCGAACTCAGTGAGTCACAACGGAAACTTGTGAGCGAAGTAGAAACTAGGGAACCCCATTTTTGCGGAGCGTAAGTGCCAGGACTCCGGTGAGACCTTTCCTGCTTCGTGCATACAATGAGCGGACGACGGAGACGACGATGAGACCTCCAAAGCTGCCGGGTAGCAACAATAGAAGCAGTTGCAGGCCAACTCTTCTTCATCTCCTCTTTGCAGCGGCCGTTTTCTCCATCATCGTCTTCACCATTCAGTCCTCCTTCACTGGTTTCCTCTCTCCCCCCCCCCCCTCACATTTTTGAAGCCAGCCCTAATTTGGTCTACACTTCACATGCGATTGTAACTTTCTTTGCTGCTGTTGCTGCAGGTTACCGCGGATTGAAGAGCCCCAACCGAGAGGAAATCCTGATCTTATCTGATTTCCAGTCCAATCTTCAGCAATGCGTGGTTATCCACCCTTACTTTCTATCAATTTTGTGAAGTTGTT